AAGTCATAGTATTACAAACTGTGGTATCTATCAACGTATAAATATAATACTAATATCCTCTGCGATAACTGTGGGACATTTTTGAAAGAAATATATCTTTTATAATAATAATAATGTAAAAAATCTATTTTTAAAATATTACAAAAGACACGTAAAAATGTTATTTAGCATGAAAAGGTAGACGTACATTAAATTTATAGCCGCCTGCTATACAAATATTTTTTTTCGATTTTTTAACTGAGTATCTTGACGAAATGGTGAATGCGCGTGCTATCTACAAGGTCCGGCAAAATAGTGCATCGGGCATCTCGTAAAATAAAAAAACCTAGGAATTGCGTTTAAGTGTTAACTTAAAGTATGTATTAGGATGCATTTCAGGAAAATATTTTAACATCTACGGGGTGACTCAATAAAGTGAGAGTGGGGAGGGATAATTTTTTTATTTTAATTTTTGGCTTCCTTTCATATCACTTTACATAATCCTATGATATGGGTAAATATATTTCGATAGTTTCAAAGATCCTAATAAATAAATCAAAAAAATATATATTTTTTGCCTTTCTTAAAAAAATATTAAAAATACAAGAACTCTACTCAAAACTTTATTAGATATTTACTTTAGCTGGTTTTTATTTACTTTCCTATAAATATGGTAATCGTAAATCATACAGGGTGTTCAAAATTGTACGCCAAACTATCTCAAATAATTTTTTTCGCTTTTTTAAATGTATATTAAAATTGTGTATTATTTTTTCTATAGATGGAGAATTAAAAAATGAACATATTTTTATTCAGAATATTTCAAAATTATTAACGGTTTCGCAGATATTCGCTGTTTTATATTTCATATGGCATTTTTCACAGTAAATTTTTATCAAAGCCACCCAATGATTTTTTCTCTCGTATTTTACCGTTGAAAGAGGCACGTAAAACCATTAAAAATTTTGAAATACATTAAATACAAAAAATGCTTATTTTTAACTTTCCATCTAATAAAAAATAATATACAAGGTGTTCCATTAAGAAAAACAAAGAAAACATTTTATATTTTAGAAAGTTTGGCGTAGAATTTTGAACACCCTGTATGATTCAAGATTACGACATTTATAACGAACTAATTTTAGACCATAGTAAATACCTAATATAGTTTTGATATCAGGACAGTTGTAGATATTTGTAATAATTTTTTAAAAAAGGTTGAGAAATGTATATTTTTTATTTATTTATTAATATCTCTAAAATTATCGAAATATATTTATTCATATTTTAGGATTATGTAAAGTGATCAGAAATGAAGCCAAAATTGAAATAATATAAAGGGTGTTCTATTTATAAAAAATCATCCCGATCCACTTCCAATTTTTTGAGCCACCCTATAGAAGTTAAATATTCTCCTGAATGGATGAAATAACATACTAATTAATATATAGTCTGTTCAACGAGAAGATCCTTGACAGTGATAGATGTGTCTGTCGTTTTAATTTCAAAGTAGTTTATTTTATTTTACAAAGAAATAAGTTGGTACAACTGGAATAGCAGGAAATTAATATATTTAAAATTTGACTGACAAGTGATTACTTCAAAATATTGTGAAAAAAACTGTATAAAACTGAAAAAATGTAATCGAGTTATTTTATTAAATAAAAAACGGCATGTGTTAATACAAAACAAACAAGAAAAAGACACCACATACCAAAAAAATATAAAAAAGAACTATTTCTTACTTTCAAGCTTTATGAAACTTTCCGCATTTATGATTATATTTATCAATATGACTTGTGTACAAATTTATAATATTCCACAGGAATAAATAAAACAACATAAATAAAACAAACTATTTTATTTATTATAACACTTACCAAATTTTATATCTTAAAGGTTGTTTAATTAACTTTATTCTCCATTGAAGACATCTTTGGTTTTCGTTATGCCGTCGTCGGTTAGAATTAGCCTTCTCTGTTACAGACGAGTGGCTAGTTCGAGGTGGCTTAGCTGATTGCTCATTAGATCGAGCCTTCATAAAATGGCGTATAAGCTAAGTGATGAGGTCGAGGGGGCGTGGTTTGTTGCGGTAGTCATGTTTCCGAACTGAATCTACTGTGCGCCATTTCGGCGTGATAGCTGACGTCAAACTTGCCGTTACTTGGTGAAAGCCTTCCTTCCGTTGAAATTGATTTGTTCCCGTTACCAGTTTTTCGATCAGCTTTGCTCGACCAGATCCAGATGCCAGGCACGATTGTGCGTTCGAATTGATTTTTGTGATCACCAGGCAGCTTGCCATGTTGACTTCGGCCGATTTTCGTTCGTTCTGGAATCCGCAGTTTTCTTGTGTTCCTGTGGTTCCGTTCCGAGCGTTATAGTTCCATATGCGAGTGAACCGCACGAACAGTATACGGTAGACTCTCGGATTGATGTATCTTTGTTCGTCATCTTGTTGTCCTCGGTTTTCGGGTAGTTTCATACCTTTGATGTTACGTTCTGAGTACTTTATCAATCTTATCGGTGACCTGCGAAACACAGCCGTCTATTAACGATGCCTTCCTCATTGGCGCTCGTATGTCAGCCCGCCGCCTTTGCTTTCCGTTCATTATATCGTATTGGCAAGCAGCGTTTGGTTCAACTTACTTCGTTCTGGACGTAATATGCATTGATGTCTGTTTATTTGCCATCAAACCCGATAATCCTCGCTTCTGGCTTGCTGACGGCGCCTGATAGTTTGTGTAGTGTCGTATTAAGCGAGCGATAAGTTTCGATACACGGTGATCCAGTGTCGCCATTTCTTTCAACGCTAATATCGAGCTTAGCGGTTACTTTATTTCGGTTTTCATGGTACTTTATGTCGGTCTTTTAGTTCAGCGGTGACGGAAGCACCAGTCGGTCACGTTCAGCTTACAAACCAGAAATGGTCGTTGAAATGAAATATACATAGCGGGTTCAGAACGGATACTCTACGCCTTTTCTTCAAATCTTCAAAAGAAATTCAATTATTGTGCCGATTGCCATTGCGATACCTTTTCGTTTGTTCGTAATTCGCCGTTCCATACAGTTACCAGTCATATTACTGAGAATTCGCGCCGTCAGGCGATGATTCCTCGACAGATCCACGACTCGCCCAGTACACATCGAATAACATTACGATACCCTGCCTTTTGCTGAAATGCCGGAATGTTGCAGTTTCACACTTGAGTTGTGCCGAAGTTAACGCCGAGTTCCTTTCAGCGATCTCTGTAGCCCAGTTGGCAGTCAGCGATCTGACACCACGGTTTGGCGGGTGAGCTTGATGACATTTTGGTAAATCGATAAAGCAGCGCGTGGTTGAGTCGACAATTTGATTTTCAGATGTCTTCGAAAGGAGAGCCGTTGAAAATTTCGATCGGTCAGCGTTAGTGGTGATTTTCCAGCGGCTTCTGACAGTCAGAGTGCCAGATGGGCCTCGAGTTCTTGGGACATCATAATCTCCTTCAGATCTTCATTTGTCACGTAATTCCCTGTTCGCCGGTGTAAGAACAGAAACCATCACAAACATCCGCGACCAGATTGTCTTTGAAGCTCAGACAGCTTGGTCTGCGTCGATCGCCTCGCGACATTGCTGTTCGCATTGCCGTTCGGCAGCGGCGCCACTTCGGCAACAAATCGGTAGTTGCTCCCCTTTCCTCGCTTGTTGATGATAACGGCCTGTGTTAACACCGCACGACAGTAATCAAGACCGTCCTATTCGGCTTGTTTGCAGTTTCATATTTTATCTGCTTTAAGAGCTGATTTCGCCATATTTTGGCACAGTTATCCGTCACGCAGTCTTTCAGCTGTCCAGCCTTTTGGCGGTAAGGACATAAAATAGTCTCGTTCTCTCGTTCACGATGTCTTCGTGATGATACGAATCTTCACGATAAAAATTTCTCCATCCGGAAGTTGGTGATTGTTCTGAGCAGATGAGAATACCCTCTTCATTCGAGAAACTGGCACAGCGTTTTGTCTGGTAGTTATCAGTAGTATGAGTATTTGCCGAGAGCAGAATACCCCTCTTCAGTTTAAAAACCCAGTAGCGTGTCATAGCGGCAGTAGTCTCGCAGCGTTGTAACGCTGTTTTCCGCAGTTGTCCGTTGCGTTGTTTCATCGGGTTTATTGCGTCAGAGCGTGTTTGAATCACCTTGTTTTTCGCCTGTCGTCGATCGGTTATTGGCCTCAGGTGTGGCCAGCCCGATTGGCTCATTAGACGATTTCGTCGGCGCAGCGCGCGTTAATGTTCGGAGGGCGTGTTCGCGAAATTTCCGGAACTGGTTTCAAAAAGCCGTTGCTTTGTCCTAGATAGGACGCCAGATTTGTTGGCGTTAGCAGTTCTTCCTTCCCGAATATTTGATGTTTGTATCTCAACAGTTTCGACCAGACGATGATATCCAGATGTTGTGGCACTGATTCGAATTGTTCGACCACGATCACCATCTTCTGCCAGCGTTATGGTTACGGCCGATCCTCTGTTGTCTCTAATCTGCAGGTAGTCAGCCAGTGTCTGCCGAGCGTTTGTTCTTTGTACCTTAAGGAAGTTCAGTCTTTATTTCGCAGAGATATCGGTTCTTTCACCTGTTGAAATCTTATATCCCTATTTTTTCGGGTATATTTTGATGTTATGCTTCGATGGTCATCTCTATCAGTATTCAGCCGGGATGAAATAATGATGTTTTTCCACATTACGTTAGGTTCTTCCTTCGTTTGTATGCCGCTTTTGCTCTCTGTTATTAGCTATTGGTAAGAAAGCCTTTATTTCCAGCCTGATTGCTTCTGAAGTCATTATTAGCTTTGAGCATAGGATACCTTTGCTCTATTGCTGACATCGATCCTCAGTTTTGCTTGATGGTGACGGATAGCTCTGCACAAACTATCAAATCACCATCCAAGCCAAAAACAGGGGATTATCGGAACATTAGCAAATAGGGCAAGACGTATCTGTGCTAATGAACACATCCAAGAGGAACTAAGTCATTTAAATAAAGCCTTTCTTGCCAATGCATGGCAATGACAGAGAAATAAAGGCGGCGCTGGCACCTAGGCAGAGGAGACCTGACGCCAATGAACAGGAAAACATCATTACTAAGGCCTTCCTTCCATATGTTTCCCAGGTCACTGATAGGATTGGTAAAGTTCCCAAGAAGCATAACATCAAAACCATATACAAACCTACCCGAAAAATAAGGGACCGCTTTAAGACCAGCAAAAGACAAAAGAGAACCATTATCCTCTGCAGGGGATCTACCGTATACCTTGTCCTGCGGTAGCGTATATATTGGAACTACCAAACGCTCAGTAGGAACGATACTTACGGAACACAAGAGAAGCTGCAGGTTAGGACAGACAGACAAGTCGGTCGCGGCCGTAGCAGAACATGCTCTAAGAGATGGTGACCACAAAATTCAGTTCGAAGACACCCAAGTCATTGCTACAACATCTGGATATCATCCTCGTTTCGTCAGGGAAGCTGTTGAAATTCACAAACATCCAAATAATTTCAACAGGAAGGAAGAAACTCTCTACCTAAACAGAATTTGGCATCCAGCTATATCTAGGACCAAGGAAGCAGTACAAAGAAGTAGACCAGTTCCGGAAGAACCACCACCGGAACAAGCCCCCTCCGCCGACGCATAAATGCGCGCTACGCCGATGCGGAGGCATCAGTCTAGTGTGAGCAATCGGAGCAAACACACCTCTGAGGATGCTAGCCACTCGTGCTAGCGAAACGTTAGGAAGCAATTCTAACCGACGACGGCCTAATAACCCGAAAAACCAAAATTCTTCAAACGATGGCCGCGAAAGCCTAAACTACTACATTAAACGGCTCTACGGGGAGGAGCTATTCAGATTGTACCAACGCCTGGACAAGACACGGAAGCGAAAAGCTCACTTGCTATCATCGCTTGCTTTTCTGTGCCGCTGCCGAGACCAAAACGTAATACCAGGATTTCTCAAAATGAAGAGGGTATTCTCATCTACTCAGGCAAATCGCCTTTACACCAGGATGGAGAAAAATTTTCTTCGTGAGAGGATTCATACATCTAGACGAGACTTAGCAAAGGTAGACAGGGAATTGATCGACCTATTTTATATCCTTACCGCCAACATGCAACCTGTAGACTGGGACAAGATTGACGGAATAACATACCAAAATATGCAAAATGAATTGGAAAGAACATCAGCTCGCCAGAAGATCAAATATGAAAAACTGCAACCAAAAACCAAGCCGGAATATAGGATATCTCTTGAACCTGCTCGAACCGTGGTGAATCTCACAGATAAGACCCTTACGACATCAGAAGTAACATTATTAGCGAAGGGAGGAAACTTTGCCATAACACCGAAAGTGGTTCCAGTGGAAGACATTATTGCCGGAACAGAAGCTGCCATACGTAACCTTCCTAACAGTATCGCAGACGAAATCCGATTTGAAACGGTCAACATATTGAGAACTGCTAAGGCTCCAAAAAGTAATCTGTCTAGGGAAGAACATCAGGCTCTAAAATCGCTGAATGCTGACAAGGACATTCTGGTCTTACCGGCAGACAAGGGGAATGCTACGGTAGTAATGAAGTCTGAGGATTATAGGTCCAAAATCGAGGATCTACTGGAGCCCCAGACTTATAAGTTACTGAAGAAGGATCCTACTGCCTTAATTGTCAGAAACACCAACAGACTCATCAAGGCCTCCTCACTCCCGGAACATCTGAAATCAAAATTAATTAACTCGGAAGCTCAACCACCACGCCTTTATGGACTACCAAAAATTCATAAAGCTAGTGTCCCACTTAGACCGATAGTGAGTGCTCCAGGATCGCCTACTTACAACTTAGCTAAATACTTGACTACGATCCTACAACCGAAAGTCGGCAACACAAACTCTTATGTGAAGGACTCAACGCATTTCGTCCAAAAGCTAAAAGATATAAAACTGGAACCATCTGACATCATGGTAAGCTTCGATGTGGTATCTCTATTCACGAGAGTACCCCTAGGCGAGTCAATGGATCTAATCAAGGAATCATTCCCACCTGACATCGCGGAGCTCTTCCGAGTGTGTCTGACTGGTAGCTATTTCTTATGGAACGGCAATTACTACGAACAAACAGAAGGTGTCGCAATGGGTAGCCCAATCAGCCCAATAATTGCTAATTTCTTTATGGAGAGATTTGAAGAAAAAGCGCTAGAGTCATCCGTTCTGAAGCCCGCTGTATGGTTTCGTTATGTGGACGATACATTTGTGGTTTGGAAACATGGACGTGACAGCCTAGATGACTTCCTTCATCACCTTAATTCGCAGAGCCCGAGCATAAAATTTACCATGGAAACCGAAGTAAACAACCAACTGGCCTTCCTCGATGTGCTTGTCAAGAGAAATGGCGACCTTTTGGATCACACCGTGTATCGAAAACCCACTCATACAGACCGGTACTTACACAAACTATCAAATCACCATCCAAGCCAAAAACAGGGGATTATCGGAACATTAGCAAATAGGGCAAGACGTATCTGTGCTAATGAACACATCCAAGAGGAACTAAGTCATTAAATAAAGCCTTTCTTGCTAATGGGTATAATGAGAAAGAAATAAAGGCGGCGCTAGCACCTAGGCAGAGGAGACTTGACGTCAATGAACAGAATAACACCGTTAATAAGGCCTTCCTTCCATATGTCTCCCAGGTTACCGATAGGATTGGAAAAGTTCTCAGGAAACACAACATCAAAACAATATACAAACCTACCTGGAAAATAAAGGGCTGCTTGAGACCAGCCAAAGATAAAAGGGTACCATTATCCTCTGTAGGGATCTACCGTATACCTTGTTCCTGCGGTAGCGTATACATTGGAACTACCAAACGCTCAGTAGGAACGAGACTTACGGAACACAAGAGAAGCTGCAGGTTAGGGCAAACAGACAAGTCGGCCGTAGCAGAACATGCTCTAAGAGATGGTGACCACAAAATCCAGTTCGAAGTCACCCAAGTCATTGCCACAACATCTGGATATCATCCTCGTCTGGTCAGGGAAGCTGTTGAAATTCACAAACATCCAAATAATTTCAACAGGAAGGAAGAAACTCACTACCTAAACAGAATTTGGCATCCAGCTATATCTAGGACCAAGGTAGCAGTACAGAGAAGTAGACCAGTTCCGGAAGAACCACCACCGGAACAAGCCACGCCCCCTCCGCTTATTGAAGGCGGCATAAAATACGCGCTACGCCGAAACTGCGGAGGTGCGGCATCAGTCTAGTGTGAGCAATCGGAGCAAACACACCTCTGAAGATGCTAGCCACTCGTGCTAGCGAAACGTTAGGAAGCAATTCTAACCGACGACGGCCTAATAACCCGAAAAACCAAAATTCTTCAAACGATGGCCGCGAAAGCCTAAACTACTACTTTAATCTTAATTTTTTTAAACCAGTACCTTTTAACATTATTTTTCTGCAGTACTAAAATCCATTATTTACCTATCGTGTGATGTCGATATTTTACAGCTACTCCAGTTTTTAATATGTGTTTAGTATGGTTCTTCTACCATATTCATGATGCACTTATCTACGACGAGATGGTATACAAACTTTATTGATGGTAACTTTATTGGTGTATAAGACTTTCTGCCTGGGCAGCGAGCATTAACCATAAACTGTGCTCTGGGTCTACAGTTAATTTTCACTCGATTTTTCCTCCACTTGACTTCAAAAGACACAAAACACACGTAATAACACGAATCAAAATGCATCATCTTCCAAAACGCAGGGTATTTGACAAAACTGACAAAAGTTGACACAAAATTATAACCTCTAATTTGGCAAGTCTTTGACAAGCGTCAAAAATCTAAAGGCGAGTTCATACGCATCGGCGTCCGTTTGTCATTCATCGTTCCGTCAAACCAATAAAATTGAAATACGATCTGTCATTTTTTAAATAAACCAATAAAACTGGTTAAAAACAACAAGAGACGACGCATGACGGATTTATATTTAAACCCATCCATAGTTAACTTAAAAATTATTAGAAACTTTTTTTAGTAAAATAAATAAATTGGTATGGGACGTCATCTGCTTTTCTTCTGTCATCGTCTGTCGAAATCTTACCTGAGAAAAAAAAACAGAGTATATTTAAAATTTGAATGATAAGTTATTACTTCAAAATATTATGAAAAAAAACTCCATAAAACTGAAAAAATGTATTGGAGTTATTTTATTAAAAAAAAACGGTACCTACCTGTTAATACAAAACAAACCAGAAAAAAACACCACATACAAAAAAAAATATAGAAAAGAACCACTTCTTACTTTCAAGCTTCAATATTTATGAATATAACTTATATAGAAATACAAATTTGTAATATTCCACAGGAATAAATAAAACAAAATATATAAAACAAACTTTTTATTAATAATAACACTTACTGAATATTATACCTTAAAAGTTGATTAACTAACTTTAATATTATTTTTTTAACCAGTACATTTTGACATTATCTATCTTCAGTACTAAAATCCTATCAATCCTATCGCGCGATGTCGATATTTTACAGCTACTCCAGTAGTACATGTTTAGTACGATCCTTGTACCATATACGAGATCCAGTTATCTACGACGAGATGGTATACAAACTTTATTGATGGTAACTTTATTGGTGTATAAGACTTTCTGCCTGGGCAGCGGGTATTAACCTTAGGTATTAACTATAAACTGTGCTCTGGGTCTACAGTTCTACAGTTAATTTTCCCTAAATTTTTCTTCCACTTTACTTTAAAAGACACAAAACACACGTAATAACATGAATTAGAATGCATCATCTTCCAAAACGCAGATATTTGACATTAAGTTGACACAAAATTATAACCTATAATTTGGCAAGACTTTGACAAACCACAAAAATCTAAAGGCGAGTTCATACGCATCGGCGTCCGTTTGTCGTTCATCGTTCCGTCACACCAATAAAATTAAAATATGATCTGTCACTTTTGAAATAAACCAATAAAACTGGATAAAAACAACAAGAGACGACGCATGACGGATTTATATTTAAACCCATCCATAGTTAACTTAAAAAATATTAGAAACTTTTTTTAGTAAATAAATAGATTAGTATGGGACGTCATCTGCTTTTCTTTTGTCATCGTCTGTCGAAATCTTACCTGAGAAAAAAAACAGAGTATACGTACTTTAGGTTTGCACTTAAACAAAATTCTCAAGTTTTTTTTTTAATCTAGGAGCTACAGAGACCCTGTAGATTTAGTGGACTTACAGAAATGTTAGTAAAAATACAGTTAAAAAAACAATTGAATATTTGCAGAAGCAAATAAATATATCTCATTTTATTTAATCATCTAAGAAATAATTTGGTCCAAAAAATGTTAGTTATCTAAAAAGTACAGAAACGAATAAGTTCTATTTTAACTCCTTAAATTAAAAGTTCCTCGTTAAGCTCCGCGCGCACTGAATAGGTATCGGCTAGAGCGAGCGGTGCGAGCGGTGCGAGAGGCGCGAGAGGCGCGAGCGGCACGACCGGTCGGAAAGTCGATTATAGCCGCTCACTGGAGTCGCACGATCGACGGTCGAGAGTACGTCACCAGCATAAATTTGAGCATAGACGAGGAGAAGTTTATTCAAATTTAGTCAAATTCATTCGGCATTTCAAAAAATTATTATTACTATTTATAGTTTTATGCAACTTTTTTATATTTTATGCTTTATAATGGAAATTGATATTATTTAGATCTTAACCAAACACACATTAATATATTTAGATCTTAACACAACCACATAAAATTAGTGAAATAGAGTGGAAGATGCGGATAAAATATACTACATGACCCTGAGCTTGACCGATTTTACTCAAAAGGACCGGTATAACTCAAAAGGGTTTAATTTGTTCTTTGAAAACAAAGCTAGATATGAAAAATTGTCAAATAAAACTTCTATTTTTATTTTTTTAATCTAAATAAGTGTCATTACAAACATTTATATATAGCTTTTATTTTAAGTTTTTAAAATCTTTGTTTTAAGTCAGTAGTAGATGTCAAATGTTTTTAAAATCTTTGTTTTAAGTCAGTAATAGATAGTCAAACGAAACTTGTGTTTACATTTTGTTTAATGATTGACGTTTCAACCAATTTTAATTCGGTCTTCTTCAGAATCTATAATATACGTATAAATAATTTTCTACGTTTGTGGTAAGAAAAAATTATATATTAAACACATTGTTAGTGATAAAATTGTATTGTATATTATAGATTCTAAAGAAGACCGAATTAAAATTAGTCGTCAATCAGAAGTTTCATTTATTACTACTGACTTAAAACCAAGATTTTAAAAACTTAAAATATAATGAAAAAGTCAAAGAAAATTGAAAAAATAAAAAATATAAATAGTTTTTATAGTATACCGTATTATGGAAAAGGAACGGCATCAGCGATGACCATGAAATGAAGGTCGGTGCCATTTTATATGTAAATTTATATAGGAAATGTCATCAATCGTTATTTCCTATCCAACTGGACGCCGTTTTTTTCTATCATACATTAGATATACATATGTACAAATATTTTATTCAAACATAAATATTATTTTCTCTATTTGTACCTTTTACGGAGCGATCAACATAGTAACATAGGATGACTATTTATCAGCTGTTATTACTAACGTCAAAACAAACCAAAAATTAAATAAAATAAAATAATATAAATTAAAATAATATATGATAAGTTTTTTGACGATATTTAAATTCGATTTTCAAAATAATGTGAGATAATCAAAACGAGATGAGAAATAAATGGGTTTAATCGGAAGGTTTTCTAATTCAGTTATTGAATAAGTGTAGTAAACAATATAGGTTACGTGCTTGTAAGAAATTTTTATCAGAAACCGCATATTAGTATGATATGGTCTCGTACACTTTCGATTAATAATTCATCAGGATATGTTTAATGTAAAACCGCTCCACTAAAACGAAGTCGCTCGGCGTAGACTATTCGCCGCCCAAGATTAACAATAACAAAATAGATAGAGGCAAGTCATTCATAAATTCACAAAATCGAGGTGCCAACATCGTTTTATCGGTTAGTGCCCCCACTACCCTAGTTTATGGACAGCGGGGTAAAGAGGAAAGTGGTAGGGGAATTCGAAGATTCGAAGCAGAAGAGCATCAAAACAGAATTTATCCTTAAGATTTCATTGATGAGTAAAAGCTGGTAAAAGCCAGAGATATAGAAGTAGGTGGTTAGAGGCATAGATAAAATATTTTTTTAATAATAAATTTAAAAAATGTGTTCATGCAATAAAACTAATAAATTATTATAAATACATAATATATGCTATAAAATATTTGACAAACACTATAAAAAATGTGTTTATTAAATATTCAATAATTAAAAGTTAGATATAATTAAAAGATATTATAGGTACGTATTATCGTAATATTGATTGATAAACTAAAATGATAATGGATATATTATATAAGATGTTTTGTTATTTAGATAATATTAATTACAAAAGAAAAGTAGATACATGTGAACAACTAATTTTTATATTGAATATCAGTAGATATACATTAATAATATAATTAATATAATGTATAATGAAAAAGCACAAAATTCATCTTTTCTGTTAGCATGGAGCTTTAAGGCCAGTTATACCATAATAAACAACAATAGGTTTGGTTACCTATGCCGTAAAATATATATTCATTTAATTAGAAACATTAACAAAACAAAAAAAAACAATGTTCTGTAGTTTTAAAATTCATTTTATTTTATATGATTCTGGGCTAAAAACTCATGACCAAAATAAATTCTTGTTGTGACTAATATTTTGACCAAACGAATTCTCAATGTAGGATATGTTACATACCATATAATTTACATTAATTAGGTATTAATCATAACACGATATTAATAAAACAAGTGTTGTATTTTTAAATATATATTTAGGGACTAAGTAAAAAAACAACAATAATATAATATTCTTACTACATTTATAGGTTCATATTAAATAAAATATTGTAGCCTGAAAAAAATATATATTTTGTTAAATGCCATTGTAAGGATCCAAGCAGAAACCAATTTCTCATTGGCTTTTTGTGTTATTAACATATATATATAAGATAATATATAGATATAAACATATTTGCATAACAAATAACATAGTTATAGCAAATAATCTAAAAAAAAACAGCGTGAAAAGACGGCTGGGAATGACGATTGATAATTTTAGGCGAGGTCAATCTTAAACTACACCATTTAAAATCATTTTTTATTTAATATAAAATTAATTACGTACAACAGAGCGCCTTTTAAAAAATGAGTACGAGCCAAGAAAATCGTCTAGGGCTTGACCTCGCTGAAATTATCATATTTTCATTCCCCAGTCACAGCATTTGTTTTTTCGATCGTATGGTTTATTAACTTATTACTATTAATAACTACTAACTTATTACATAATTGTAAATATTACATTAATTAGTATGTATAATAATTAGTATACATCATAAATTTCTAGTTTTATAAAATATGAATAATAAAAGACATAAATACTGTATGATCAAAAAAAACGGCGTCCAGTTGGCTTGGAAATGATGATGATGACATTCCCCCATATAATTTTACATATAAAATAACAACGATCTTCATTTTATAGCCATAACTGACACCGATTTTTAATGTCAGGTATCGAAATATCTGTTGCAAAAGTACAATATTACCAAATATTTTACAAAGTGTAGAGCTTCGAAGCATAATTATCTTAACCAAAAAGTTAATGAAAACATGAAATGAAAGTGATTTTCTTTTTAAATTCTCTGATATATTATTAGATATTTATATTAAGTGTCATTTCTTTGTAGGTATCTGATATTATATCTACCCGATATTAAATATGACTTGAGTCCTGTACTATGCCATGATTAAATATGCAAAACTCAAAAATATATTGATTTTTATACACAAACAAGTAAAAGTCTAGAATATGCGATTCTAATCACTATCATTGTCACTTGTCTCTCAACAAAAGTATTTCTGTAGCTCTCCCTAGGGTTCACATCTCTCACTATTTTGCATAGTAGCATTACGTCGATTTTAAATGTGATGTAAAGGACCAATTTCATATGCACTATGTAATTAAAGTAACAACTTCCACACCATGAATATCTTCACTTCCTAAAACAAAATATAAACATGAAGTTGGTGAATATAAATATCTACATTGAGTATACATTGAGAGCAAAATAAAAATAAAATTGACAATCAATGACATTCACCATATAAATTTACATTTTATAAAATGACATAAATCTTGCTTTCAAAGCCAACCCTAACGCTTTTTTTTTCGATAGTGAGGTCTTATACAACTATTGTGTAATTTTAGTAAAATAATATTAATATAACATATACAAATCTATATATAGGGTGGCGCCTCTCATAGGACGCGAAGGCTTCAAAGGAAATGAAAGTGAATTTTATGACGAAAACAATTGGTGTTTATATATAAAAACCAGCTGATATGTTTTAACCGCATAACGACGTCGTTGCAGCCACGCTTAACTTGATTGACTTTTAAACCCTCCATATGTTCTCAAAATTTTATTTGAATACAAACTTCCAACAACAAAAATCCTTGAAACCTTCGTATCGTATGAAAGGCACCACCCTGTACACTTTGAATCTGTGTATACATATTAATATATAGTAATATTTTATATTAAAAAATTAAACTGTAAATATATATGTACTTACATATTATGACGGAATAGGTATGCTAACAAGATCATACTTCTTATCTAGTTATCTGCAGGATCCTAATATCTTAATGTTAATTTCCTAGGTGATGTTAAAACAGTTGCAACACCATAAATCGCGACATAAATGGCTGTGAAAATTCATCAGTTTTTAAATATTTTCTTCAATTCCTTATACAATAATCAGCTGTTTTTGAGCTCTCTTTTGCTCAACTTTTTAATATCATGCTATGAATAAATCCTAACAGAGAAAACCATTTAATTTTTCTCTCACTATCTTTTAGAAATCTGAAATAAAATATTTATCTTAGTAATACAAACGTAAATAGGCATTATTTTTTATAAATGTAAACATACCAATTATAATTTATGTAAACATACCAATTATTTGTATTCATAATTAAATACAACTATACGATTTTGATTCGGACAATATTGTAACAAAAATATAAACATTACTTCTTATAATATACATAATATATTATATTATAAAACAAATATTAACAAATAGGTAAATAAAAGGAAATGCTGCATTACCACAGAACAGTACTTACTTTTGAAATGACACTTCACGATGTTTAAATTCTTTAATTCTTACATATTTCCCAGTGTAGACCCATTTTAAATGCTAATTTTAGTCCTTTATATAAAATGAAACAATTATACACTAATAGTTTATTAATAGTTAAGAAATATGGAAAAATAAAAGCTGATCTTGCCAATCAGCTGTTTATTAACACTGTTGACCACGTCCAATTGGTCCAATTCCCCTACTATAGAAAATACTATAACAACAGAGCGGCATTGCCAGATTAAAAATTAATCATAACGGTTGATGTAAAAATGACGAAATTTACAAATATTTCTTGTAATCTTTGACTTGAATCTTATTAAGTACTAAATAAAATTATAAATATCGAAATTTTCAAATGTAGTAAGCTCTAATTAATTATTATTTTCTTAAAAAGTTTCCCCATAGTATACGTATACAAATTAAAATAAACAAAGGCTTTGACAAATCTCCGGTAAGACTTGGCAACGCAACAAACAATAACAATAGGATGTTGGCATTCGCATAAAATGTAAACAGTTCCCCTGTGATTCGCCGCCTCCCATGCATTCTCTGATTTCGCCTGATGGCGCGAGTACCGCCGATAGCTCGAAGCGCACCGATCTAATGCGGTGCGCGGGCTTACATTTATTTCAACGTAAACTGATGCATTGTCGCTCGCTCTCGCCGATACCTATTCAGTGCGCGCGGAGCTAAAGTGCACACGCACTGATGGTAATCGGTACCAGTCCGGCGAGAAACGGCGAAGGCGGTGACGTAGTCGACTATCAGCAGATAAGGTAAGAGGAAGGAATCTGGCCTCTGGGCCAAGAAATGTTTTAGTGGACATCGGCCCGTCTACCCTGTTCGATGGTGCAGTCGCTTTTGCTGGTCGGTCCGATCTGATGCAGTGCGCGCCCAGCACACTCCTCGTTTACAATTATTCATCCTGTTAAGCTGATGCTGATCGTCGGTAATTTGGTGCGCCAATGCGTCGATACCATGGGTTTGTACGGTGGATGGGCCAAAAGGCGGTTTTGGGCTAACCTTCAAGAAATACCTCAAACACACAAATTGTGATTTCTAAACGAACTAATCGACAGATCGATCAAGCCGCATCAGCGCATGAGACATAGTTAGTATGGTGCTTAAGTGTATGCTCTAGCTTTAGTATTTTATGTTTTATATTTATTTTTGCGTAAAAGTTCTCATCTTTTATGGCGTTAAGTTCGCCTTCGAATGCACCGTGGATAACGTCTAATTATAAGCGTGTACTAAATAAACTAGCACAGCGACCAAACAATCAAGCTTAAATCTCTTGGTTAACTTTGGCGTTACTACAGATAAAAAAATCGCAATAAAAAGGCCTGCCTTTACGCAAAATAAATACTCAAACACCATGCTAAAAGCTAGAGCATACACTTAAGCTTTCCTTAACTATGTCTCATGCTGATGCGTCGTTTGATTCGTCGATTAGTTCGTTTAGAAATTCATAATTTGTGTTTGAGGTATTTCTTTTGAAGGTTAGCCCAAAAACCGCCTTTTGGCCCATCCGTACAACCGCCAGTATCGACGCTGGCGCACCAAATTGACGTATTGACGATCAGCGTAAGGGCCAAGCCGATGAATAATTGTAAACGAGGTAAAAGCTGGGCGCACTGCATCAGATCGGACCGACCAGCAAAGCGACTGCGACCATCGAACATGGGCGGGGCCGATGTCCTTTATTTCGGCCTGTGAGGCCAGATTCGCCTCACTCTGCCTATCTGCGATAGTCGACTACGTCACCGCCTTCGTTCTCGCCGGACTGGTACCGATTCAGTGCGTGTGCACAGCTCCGCGCGCACTGAATGGAAGTATCGGCGAGGCGAGCGACGTAATTTCAGTTTACGTTGAAATAAATGTAAGCCCGCGCACCGCATTAGATCGGTGCGCTTCGATATCGGTACTCGCGCCATCAGGCATCAGAGAAGAATGCATGGGAGGCGGCGAATCACAGAGGAACTGTTTACATTTGTGCGAATGCCAACATCAGCCATTATTATTTGTTATGTTGCCAAATCTACCAGTTTATCATTTATTTTTAATTTGTATACAAATCTTAAGAAAATAATAATATAATTAGAGCTTACTACATTTGAAAATTTCGATATTTATAATTTTATTTAATTACTTAATAAGATTCCAAGTCAAAGATTACAAAAATATTTGAAATTTCGTCATTTATCCAACCGTTATGATTAATTTTTAATCTGGCAACGCCGCTCTGTTGTTATAGTATTTTCTATAGTAGAGAGTGGACCAATTGGATTTGTGGTCAACAGTGTCAATAAACAGCTGATTGGCAAGATCAGCTTTTATTTTCCTATTTCTTAACTATTAATAAACTATTAATTATAATTGTTTCATTTACATAACAGTTCCAAAATTAGCATTTTAAAATGGGTCTACACTGGGAAATGTGTAGAATTTAAAGAATTTAAACATCGTGAAGTGTCATTTCAAAGTAAGTACTGTTGTGGTAATGCAGCATTTCCTTTTATTTACCTATTTGTTAATATTTGTTTTGCAATACCGTATGATCGAAAAGAAAAAAAATGGCGTCAGTTGGCTGGAAGCCCGAGCGATCGATGACATTTCCCCATATAAATTTACATATAAAATGACAGCGATCTTCATTTCCCAGCCAACTGGACGCCGTTTTTCTCGATCATGCGGTATAATATTATGTATATTATAAGTAATGTTTATATTTTTTGTTACAATATTGTCGAATCAAAATCGTATAGTTGTATTTAATTATGAATACAAATAATTGGTATGTTTATAAATTATAATTGGTACATTTATAAAAAAATAATGCCTATTTACGTTTTGTATTACTAAGATAAATATTTTATTTCAGATTTCTAAAAGATAGTGAGAGAAAAATTAAATGGTTTTCTCTGTTAGGATTTATTCATAGCATGATATTAAAAAGTTGAGCAAAAGAGAGCTCAAAAACAGCTGATTATTGTATAAGGAATTGAAGAAAATATTTAAAAACTGATGAATTTTCACAGCCATTTATGTCGCGATTTATGGTGTTGCAACTGTTTTAACATCACCTAGGAAATTAACATTAAGATATTAGGATCCTGCAGATAACTAGATAAGAAGTATGATCTTGTTAGCATACCTATTCCGTCATAATATGTAAGTACATATATATTTACAGTTTAATTTTTTAATATAAAATATTACTATATATTAATATGTATACACAGATTCAAAGTGTACAGGGTGGTGCCTTTCATACGATACGAAGGTTTCAAGGATTTTTGTTGTTGGAAGTTTGTATTCAAATAAAATTTTGAGAACATATGGAGGGTTTAAAAGTCAATCAAGTTAAGCGTGGCTGCAACGACGTCGTTATGCGGTTAAAACATATCAGCTGGTTTTTATATATAAACACCAATTGTTTTCGTCATAAAATTCACTTTCATTTCCTTTGAAGCCTTCGCGTCCTATGAGAGGCGCCACCCTATATATAGATTTGTATATGTTATATTAATATTATTTTACTAAAATTACACAATAGTTGTATAAGACCTCACTATCGAAAAAAAAAGCGTTAGGGTTGGCTTTGAAAGCAAGATTTATGTCATTTTATAAAATGTAAATTTATATGGTGAATGTCATTGATTGTCAATTTTATTTTTATTTTGCTCTCAATGTATACTCAATGTAGATATTTATATTCACCAACTTCATGTTTATATTTTGTTTTAGGAAGTGAAGATATTCATGGTGTGAGTTACTTTACATAGTGCATGAAGTGGTCCTTTACATCACATTTAAAATCGACGTAATGCTACTATGCAAAATAGTGAGAGATGTGAACCCTAGGGAGAGCTACAGAAATACTTTTGTTGAGAGACAAGTTATGATAGTGATTAGAATCGCATATTCTAGACTTTTACTTGTTTGTGTATAAAAATCAATATATTTTTGAGTTTTGCATATTTAATCATGGCATAGTACAGGACTCAAGTCATATTTAATATCGGGTAGATATAATATCAGATACCTACAAAGAAATGACACTTAATATAAATATCTACTATAATATATCAGAGAATTTAAAAAGAAAATCACTTTCTATTTCATGTTTTCATTATTAACTTTTGGTTAAGATAATTATGCTTCAGCTCTACACTTTGTAAAATATTATAATATTGTACTTTTTGCAACAGATATTTCGATAATTCGACATTATCAAAAAAAATCGGCGTCAGCCATGGCTATAAAATGAAGATCGCTGTTATTTTATATGTAAAATTATATGGGGAATGTCATCGATCATCATTTCCAAGCCAACTGGACGCCGTTTTTTTTTTGATCATACAGTATTTATGTCTTATTATTCATATTTTATAAAACTAGAAATTTATGATGTATACTAATTATTATACATACTAATTAATGTAATATTTAATAATTATGTAATAAGTTAGTAGTTATTAGTAGTAATAAGTTAATAAACCATACGATCGAAAAAAAACGGCGTCAAAGGCGACTGGGGAATGAAAATATGATAATTTCAGCGAGGTCAAGCCCTAGACGACATTTTCTTGGCTCGTACTATTTTTTAAAGGCGCTCTAAGGTAATGTAATTAATTTTTATATTAAATAAAAATGATTTTTAAATGGTGTAGTTTAAGATTGACCTCGCTAAATTATCAATCGTCATTCCCAGCCGTCTTTCACGCCGTTTTTTTTTAGATTATTTGCTATAATTATGTTATTTGTTATGCAAATATGTTAACACAAAAAGCCAATGAGAAATTGGTTTCTGCTTGGATCCTTACAGTGGCATTTAACAAAATATATATTTTTTTCAGGCTACAATATTTTATTTAATATGAACCTGTAAATGTAGTAAGAATATTATACATATATTTTTTACTTAGTCCCTAAATATATATTTAAAATACAACACTTGTTTTTTTTATTAATATCGTGTTATGATTAATACCTAATTAATGTAAAATTATATGGTATGTAAATATCCTTACATTGAGAATTCGTTTGGTCAAATAGTCACAACAAAATTTATTTTGTCATAGGTTTTTAGCCCAGTCATATAAAATAAATGAATTTTAAAACTACAGAACATTGTTTTTTTTTGTTTTTGTGCTAATATTTCCAATTAAAATTACCGAATATATTTTACGGTATAGGTAACCAAACCTATCGTTGTTTATTATGGTCTGAAAGCTCCATGCTAACAGAAAAGATGAATTTTGTGCTTTTTCATTATACATTATATTAATTATATTATTAATGTATATCTACTGATATTCAATATAAAAATTAATTGTTCACATGTATCTACTTTTCTTTTGTAATTAATATTATCTAAATAACAAAACATCTTATATAATAGATCCATTAACATTTTAGTTTATCAATCAATATATATTATACGTACGTATTATGTACCTATAATATATTTTAATTATATCTAACTTTTAATTATTGAATATTTAATAAACACATTTTTTTATAGTGTTTGTCAAATATTTTATAGCATATATTATGTATTTATAATAATTTATTAGTTTTATTGCATGAACACATTTTTAAAATTTATTATTAAAATAATATTTTATCTATGCCTCTAACCACCTACTTCTATATCTCTGGCTTTTACCAGCTTTTACTCATCAATGAAATCTCAAGGATAAATTCTGTTTTGATGCTCTTCTGCTTCGAATCTTCGAATTCCCCTACCACTTTCCTCTTTACCCCGCTGTCCATAAACTAGGGTAGTGGGGGCACTAACCGATAAAACGATGTTGGCACCTCGATTTTGTGAATTTATGAATGACTTGCTCTATCTATTTTTATTGTTAATCTAAGCGGCGAATAGTCTACGCCGAGCGACTGTTTTTAGTGGAGCGGTTTTACATTAAACATATCCGATGAATTATTAATCGAAAGTGTACGAGACCATATCATACTTAATATGCGGTTTTTTATAAAAAAAAATTACAAGCACGTAACCTATATTGTTTACTACACTTATTCAATAACTGAATTAGAAAACCTGCCGATTAAACCTATTTATTTCTCATCTCGTTTTGATTATCTCACATTATTATGGAAATCTAATTTAAATATCGTCAAAAAACTTATCATATTATTTAATTTTTGGTTTGTTTTGACGTTAGTATTAACAGCTGCTAAATAATGTTACTATGTTGATCGCTCCGTTCAAGGTACAAATAGAAAAAATAATATTTATGTTTAAATAAAATATTTGTACATATATCTACCTAGTTGTATCTATCTTTCCTAGTTGGATGGGAAATGACGATTGATGACATTTCCCATATAAATTTACATATAAAATGACACCGATCTTCATTTCATGGCCATCGCTGATGCCGTTTCTTTTGATCATACGGTACTATAAAATAAAAACTATATATTTTTTCTTTTTTTAATTTTCTTTGACTTTTATATTATATTTTAAGGTTTTAAAATCTTGGTTTTAAGTCAGTAGTGAATAAAACGAAACTTTTGTTTACATTTTGTTTAATGATTGACGTTTCGACCAATTTTAATTCGGTCTTCTTCAGAATCTATAATATACAATACAATTTTATCACTAACAATGTGTTTAATATATACTTTTTTCTTACCACAAACGTAGAAAATTATTTATACGTATATTATAGATTCTGAAGAAGACCGAATTAAAATTGGTCGAAACGTCAATCATTAAACAAAATGTAAACACAAGTTTCGTTTTATTTACTACTGACTTAAAACAAAGATTTTAAAAACTTAAAATAAAAGCGATATATAAATGTTTGTAATGACACTTATTTAGATTAAAAAACTAGAAATAAAAGTTTTATTTGACTATTTTTCATATCTAGCTTTGTTTTTAAAGAACAAATTAAACCCTTTTGAGTTATACCAAATTTGTTAAAATCGGTTAAGCTAAGAGTCATGTAGTATATTTTATCCCCATCTTCCACTCTATTTCACTAATTTTATGTGGTTTGTTAAGATCTAAATTTATTAATGTGTGTTTGGTTAAGATCTAAATAATATCAATTTCCATCATAAAGCATAAAATATAAAAAGTTGCATAAAAATATAAATAGTAATAATACTTTATAATTTTTTGAAATGCCGAATGAATTTGACTAAATTTGAATAAACTTCTCCTCGTCTAGCTCAAATTTATGCTGGTGACGTACTCTCGACAATCGATCGTGCGACTCCAGTGAGCGGCTATAATCGACTTTCCGTGCCGCTCGCGCACTCTCGCGCCTCTCGCACCCGCTCGCACCGCTCGCTCTGGCGTACCTATTCAGTGCGCGCGGAGCTTAACGGGAACTTTTAATTTAAGGGTTAAATAGAACTATTCGTTTCTGTGCTTTTTTAGATAACTAACTTTTTGGTTAAGTATTTCTTAGATGATTAAATAAAATGAGATATACATTTAGCTTCTGCAAATATTCAATTGTTTTTTAACTGTGTTTTACTAACATTTCTGTAAGTCCACTAAATCTACAGAATTCTCTGTAGCTCTAGATTAAAAAAAACTTGAGAATTTTGTTTAAGGAGTGCAAACCTAAAGTACGTATACTCTGTTCTCAGGTAAGATTTCGACAGACGATGACAGAAGAAAAGCAGATGACGTCCCATACCAATCTATTTATTTTACTAAAAAAAGTTTCTAATAATTTTTAAGTTAACTATGGATGGGTTTAAATATAAATTCGTCATGCGTCGTCACTTGCTGTTTTTAACCAGTTTTATTGGTTTATTTCAAAAATGACAGATCGTATTTCAATCTTATTGGTTTGACGGAACGATGAACGTCAAACGGACGCCGATGCGTATGAACTCGCCTTTAGATTTTTGACGTTTGTCAAAGTCTTGCCAAATTATAGGTTATAACTTTGTGACAACTTTTGTCAAATACCCTGCGTTTTGCAGGCGTTTTGGAAGATGATGCATTTTGATTCGTGTTATTACGTGTGAAGTCAAGTGGAGGAAAAATCGAGTGGAAATTAACTGTAGAACCCAGAGCACAGTTTATGGTTAATACTCGCTGCCCAGGCAGAAAGTCTTATACAGATACACCAATAAAGTTACTATCAATTAAGTTTGTATACCATCTCGTCGTAGATAAGTGCATCTCGAATATGGTAGAAGGACCATACTAAACACATACTAAAAATTGGAGTAGCTGTAAAATATCGACATACACGATAAGTAAATAATGGATTTTAGTACTGCAGAAAAATAATGTCAAAAGGTGGCTGGTTTAAAAAAAATAAGTTTAAAGTAATTAATCAACCTTTAAGATTTTATTTAATTGTTTTATTTATGTTTTATTTATTCCTGTGGTATATAACAAATTTATATTTGTACATAAGTTATATTGATAAATATTGAAGCTTGAAAGTAAGAAGTGGTTCTTTTTCTATATTTTTTTTTTTGTATGTGGTGTTTTCTGGTTTGTTTTGTATTAACAGGTAGGTACCGTTTTTTTAATAAAATAACTCCAATACATTTTTAGTTTATGGAGTTTTTCATAATATTTTGAAGTAATAACTTTATCATTCAAATTTTAAATATACTCTGTTTTTTTCTCGGTAAGATTTCGACAGACGATGACAGAAGAAAAGCAGATGACGTCCCATACCAATTTATTTATTTTACTAAAGTTTCTAATAATTTTTTAGATTTAAACTATGGATGGGTTTAAATATAAATCCGTCGTAAATCATCTTGTTGTTTTAACCAGTTTTATTGGTTTCTTTCAAAAATGACAGATCGTATTTCAATTTTATTGGTTGAAACCGAGACGATGAACGACAAACGAACGCCGATGCGTATAAACTCGCCTTTAGATTTTGACCTTGTCAAGTCTTGCCGAATTATAGGTTATAATTTGTGTCGCTTTTGTCAAATACGTTTGGAAGATGATGCATTTTGATTCGTGTTATTACAGTGTTTTGTGTCTTTTTGAAGTCAAGTGGAGGAAAAATCAGTGAAAATTAACTGTAGACCCAGAGCACAGTTTATGGTTAATGCTCACTGCTGAGCAGCAAGTCTTACACCAATAAAGTTACCATCAATAAGTTTGGCATACCCATCTCTCAAATCCGAATAGTGCATCATGAATATGAGTAGAAGAACCATACTAAACACATATTAAAAAACTGGAGTAGCTGTAAAATAACCTCGACATCACACGATGGTAAATAATGGTACTGCAGAAGAAATAATGTTAAAAGGTACTGGTTTTAGAAATTAAGATTAAGTAATAGTTTTGGGCTTTTCGCGGCCAATAAGTTTGAAAATTTTTGGTTTTCGGGTTATTAGGCCGTCGTCGGTTAGAATTGCTTCCTAACGTTTCGCTAGAACGAGTGGCTAGCATCTTCAGAGGCATGTTGTTCCGACTGCTAACACTAGACTGATGCCTCCGCGTCGGCGTATTGGGCGTGGCTTGTTCGGGTGGTAGTTCTTCCGGAACTGGTCTACTTCTCTGTGCTGCTACTTTGGTCCTAGATATAGCTGGATGCCAAATTCTGTTAAGGTAGAACGTTTCTTCCTTCCTGTTGAAATTATTTGGATGTTTGTGAATTTCAACAGCTTCTCTGACCAGACGAGGATGATATCCAGATGTTGTGGCAATGACTTTGGGTGTCTTTGAATTGGATTTTGTGGTCACCATCTCTTAGAGCATGTTCTGCTACGGCTGACTTCTCTGTTTACCCTAATCTGCAGTTTCTCTTGTGTTCCGTAAGTCTCGTTTCTACTGAGCGTTTGGTAATTCCAATATATACGCTACCGCAGGAACAAGGTATACGGTAGATCGCTGCAGACGATAATGGTTCTCTTTTGTCTTTGGCTGGTCTTAAGCAGTCCCTTATTTTCCGGGTAGGTTTGTTATGGTTTTGATGTTATGCTTCTTGAGAACTTTACCAATCCTATCGGTGACCTGGGAAACATATGGAAGGAAGGCCTTATTAATGATGTTTTCCTGTTCATTGGCGTCAGGTCTCCTCTGCCTAGGTGCCAGCGCCGCCTTTATTTCTCTGTCATTATAGCCATTGGCAAGAAAGGCTTTATTTAAATGACTTAGTTCCTCTTGGATGTGTTCATTAGCACAGATACGTCTTGCCCTATTTGCTAATGTTCCGATAATCCCCTGTTTTTGGCTTGGATGGTGATTTGATAGTTTGTGTAAGTACCGGTCTGTATGAGTGGGTTTTCGATACACGGTGTGATCCAAAAGGTCGCCATTTCTCTTGACAAGCACATCGAGGAAGGCCAGTTGGTTGTTTACTTCGGTTTCCATGGTAAATTTTATGCTCGGGCTCTGCGAATTAAGGTGATGAAGGAAGTCATCTAGGCTGTCACGTCCATGTTTCCAAACCACAAATGTATCGTCCACATAACGAAACCATACAGCGGGCTTCAGAACGGATGACTCTAGCGCTTTTTCTTCAAATCTCTCCATAAAGAAATTAGCAATTATTGGGCTGATTGGGCTACCCATTGCGACACCTTCTGTTTGTTCGTAGTAATTGCCGTTCCATAAGAAATAGCTACCAGTCAGACACACTCGGAAGAGCTCCGCGATGTCAGGTGGGAATGATTCCTTGATTAGATCCATTGACTCGCCTAGGGGTACTCTCGTGAATAGAGATACCACATCGAAGCTTACCATGATGTCAGATGGTTCCAGTTTTATATCTTTTAGCTTTTGGACGAAATGCGTTGAGTCCTTCACATAAGAGTTTGTGTTGCCGACTTTCGGTTGTAGGATCGTAGTCAAGTATTTAGCTAAGTTGTAAGTAGGCGATCCTGGAGCACTCACTATCGGTCTAAGTGGGACACTAGCTTTATGAATTTTTGGTAGTCCATAAAGGCGTGGTGGTTGAGCTTCCGAGTTAATTAATTTTGATTTCAGATGTTCCGGGAGTGAGGAGGCCTTGATGAGTCTGTTGGTGTTTCTGACAATTAAGGCAGTAGGATCCTTCTTCAGTAACTTATAAGTCTGGGGCTCCAGTAGATCCTCGATTTTGGACCTATAATCCTCAGACTTCATTACTACCGTAGCATTCCCCTTGTCTGCCGGTAAGACCAGAATGTCCTTGTCAGCATTCAGCGATTTTAGAGCCTGATGTTCTTCCCTAGACAGATTACTTTTTGGAGCCTTAGCAGTTCTCAATATGTTGACCGTTTCAAATCGGATTTCGTCTGCGATACTGTTAGGAAGGTTACGTATGGCAGCTTCTGTTCCGGCAATAATGTCTTCCACTGGAACCACTTTCGGTGTTATGGCAAAGTTTCCTCCCTTCGCTAATAATGTTACTTCTGATGTCGTAAGGGTCTTATCTGTGAGATTCACCACGGTTCGAGCAGGTTCAAGAGATATCCTATATTCCGGCTTGGTTTTTGGTTGCAGTTTTTCATATTTGATCTTCTGGCGAGCTGATGTTCTTTCCAATTCATTTTGCATATTTTGGTATGTTATTCCGTCAATCTTGTCCCAGTCTACAGGTTGCATGTTGGCGGTAAGGATATAAAATAGGTCGATCAATTCCCTGTCTACCTTTGCTAAGTCTCGTCTAGATGTATGAATCCTCTCACGAAGAAAATTTTTCTCCATCCTGGTGTAAAGGCGATTTGCCTGAGTAGATGAGAATACCCTCTTCATTTTGAGAAATCCTGGTATTACGTTTTGGTCTCGGCAGCGGCACAGAAAAGCAAGCGATGATAGCAAGTGAGCTTTTCGCTTCCGTGTCTTGTCCAGGCGTTGGTACAATCTGAATAGCTCCTCCCCGTAGAGCCGTTTAATGTAGTAGTTTAGGCTTTCGCGGCCATCGTTTGAAGAATTTTGGTTTTTCGGGTTATTAGGCCGTCGTCGGTTAGAATTGCTTCCTAACGTTTCGCTAGCACGAGTGGCTAGCATCTTCAGAGGTGTGTTTGCTCCGATTGCTCACACTAGACTGATGCCTCCGCGTCGGCGTAGCGCGTATTTATGCGTCGGCGGAGGGGGCGTGGCTTGTTCGGGTGGTAGTTCTTCCGGAACTGGTCTACTTCTCTGTGCTGCACTTTGGTCCTAGATATAGCTGGATGCCAAATTCTGTTAGTGAAAGTTCTTCCTTCCTGTTGAAATTATTTGGATGTTTGTGAATTTCAACAGCTTCCCTGACTCCAGACAATGATATCCAGATGTTGCAATGACTTGGGTGTCTTCGAATTGGTTTGTGATCACCATCTCTTAGAGCATGTTCTGCTACGGCTGACTTTCTCTGTTTGCCCCTAATCTGCGGTTTCCTATTGTGTGTCAAGTCTCGTTCTGGTTTCCAATATATACCTTTACCGCAGAACAGGTATACAGTAGATCCCCTGCAGAGGATAATGGTTCTCTTTGTCTTTTGCTGATTCCAAAAGCAGTCCTTATTTTTCAAGGTAAGGTTTTGTATATGGTTTTGATGTTATGCTTCTTGAGAACTTTACCAATCTATCAGTGACCTGGGAAACTTATATGGAAGGAAGGCCTTATTAATGATGTTTTTCCTGTTCTAGGTGAAAATGGAGTCTCTACTGCCCACCAGGTGCCAGCCTTAGCACATTTCTCTGTTATGGCAAAGAAAGGCTTTATTTAAATGACTTAGTTCCTCTTGGATGTGTTCATTAGCACAGATGCGTCTTGCCCTATTTGCTAATGTTCCGATAATCCCCTGTTTTTGGCTTGGATGGTGATTTGATGGTTTGTGCAAGAGCTATCAAATCACCATCAAGCAAAACGATATCTGTGTCAGAAAAATTAAGTCATTAAACAAAGCTTATAATGGCTGATGAAGCAACAGGCTGAAGGAAGGCTGTTTCAATGTTCAAGGCATCGTGTGGGCCTTCCTTCCATATGTTCAGGTCTGACAGGATGACAAAAGCAAACTTTACCCAGCAGGGACCAGCACCGGCAAGAACAAAACCCATCTGCGAGATCTCTGTTCCTGCGACAGAACAAACGCTCGGCTACAGGCCTGACTAACTGCAGATTAGAGGCAGGCAGGGGATCGGCCGTAACTGCGCTGGCAAAAATGGTGATCGATCGAACACCAGAATCGTGCCGCAACATGCGGATATCATCGGTCGAAACTGTTGAGATGCATTCAACGGGAAGGAAAAACTGCTAACGAGGCGGCATCCAGCTCCTGTCTGGGACAAAGCAACGCAGCAGAAAGCAGACCGGACCGGAAGAACCACCCGAACAACCGCGCTGCGCCGACGCCGTCGTCTGGTGGCTAATCGGGCTGGCCGCTCGTTGAGGCTGTTAACCGACGACGACAACGAAAACAAGGTGCTCAGGCGGCCTGGCGTTAAACGGCGGGCGCAACGCCTGGACAACGCGGAAGCAGCGCTCATCGCTGCTTTACTGTGCCGCTATGACATGACTGAGATTTCTCAAGAGGGGTATTCGCTCTCGGCAAATACATTTCGTGGAAGATTCATACATCGCGAAGAACGCGTGAACGAAAGTCGACCTATTTTATATCATACCGCCAAAAGGCTGACCTGCTGAACAGACAGGTGACGGAACTTTGCTCATGCAAAATGAACATCAGCTGTAAAGCGATAAAATATGAAACTGCAATAAAAACAAGCCGAATAGGACGGTTATCGAACCGTCGGTGGTACACAGACCGTTACGGTATCAAGCGATGACCAGCGAAGGGGCTACCGAAGTTCAGTGGAAAACTACCGGGTTAGCGCCAACAGCCATCGCGGGCGATTGAAGCAGTCAGCGTGAGCAATGCAAATCGGGCGCGGATGTTAGTGATGCTTACCGGCCGGTAGCTGGCGGTCTGAAGGAATTATAGGTCAAATCAGTAGACATAGGGTGAAGAAGCTGATGTCAGAAGCACTGGCAGGCTCATCAGGCACCCTCACTCCCAAGCAGCTGGTAAAGTGTGCTCAGGCTCAGCCACCACGCCTTTATGAACTACCAAAACCGCAAAACTGGTCCCGCCAAACCGACCAGTGTCCAGATCGCCACCCAACAGCGAGCTACAGCCAGCAATGAAAGGAACTCAACGCATTTCGTCTCAAAAAAGTGCAGAAACTGGAACATATCTGTTCAGCATGAACAACTCGATAATGTTATTCACGGGTACTAGGCAGTCGTGGATCTGGCTGGAATCATCCCACCGGCGCGAGCTCTCCGGTATCGACTGGTAACTGTATGGACGGCTGACCTACGAACAAACGATTGTCAGCCCAATAACTGAACTGTGGAAGATTTGAAAAACCTCCGTTCTGTATTAACAATGAACGTGATTTCTTCAATGAACATGTTTAGCTTTCGCTCTCTGGTCCGCAGAACAGCTCGTACCATGAAAACCGAAATGCGCGCAGCTCGTGTGCTGTCAGAAAATGGCGACCTTTCACCGTGTATCGAAACACTCGCCAGGCCGTGCTGCAAACTATCCATCAATGTTTGATAGCAAATAAACAGACGTCAACATGTACATCCAGAAGGTTTAAGTCGACCCAAACAAAGCGCTTTCTTTACCAATAACTAACGGAAAACGGCGCTGGCTGCGCCTGTCTGGAAAGGCATCGTTAACGCTCGCTCGCGGTCACCAGCTAAGTTGACAAAGTACTCAGAAAACATCAAAAACCGCTCTGCTACCAGCAGGGACAACAAGATTTCAACAACGACAAAAGAAACCGTGCGCTCTGCGAGATCTCGCTTGTTGTTCACTGCATTGGAACTATAACGCTCGGCTGAACACAGGCCTGAAAACTTTTTAGTAAGCAACAGAAGTCAGCAATGGCAAGCTGCTAAGTGATCACAAAAATCAGTCGAGGCACAATCGACCTGGCATCTGGATCTGGTCGAGAGGCCCGAAATTCGCAAACAAATATTTCAACGGGAAAAGGCGGCGTCAGCTGGACAGTTCGAAACGCCACGCCTCCCGCCGACATCGCGCTGCGCCAGTATCGTCTGGTAATGGTAATCGAGCAAATACTAGCCACTCGTGTAGCAACTGTTTAATTCTAACCGACGATAACGAAAACCAAAAATTCTTCAGTAGATAAAGTTAATTAAACAACCTTTAGATATAAAATTTATTGTTAAAGTGTTATAATAAATAAAATAGTTTGTTTTATTTATGTTGTTTTATTTATTCCTGCGGAATATTATAATGCTATAAAATGTGCGGATAAATATAATCATAAATGCGGGAAGTTTCATAAAGCTTGAAAGTAAGAAATAGTTTTTTTTATATTTTTTTGGTATGTGGTGTCTTGTTCTTGTTTATTTTGTATTAACCTTTGAGTATTAACACATACCGTTTTTTATTAAATTAAATAACTCGATTACATTTTTTCAGTTTTATACAGTTTTTCTTACAATATTTTGAAGTAATCACATGTCAGTCAAATTTTAAATATAATAATTTCCTGCTATGCGTTCCAGTTGTACCAACTTATTTCTTTGTAAAATAAAATAAACTACTTTGAAATTAAAATGACAGACACATCTATCACTGTCAAGGATCTTCCGTTGAACAGACTATATATTAATTAGTATGTTATTTCATCCATTCAAGGAGAATATTTAACTTCTATGGTGGCTCAAAAAATTGGAAGTGGATCAGGATGATTTTTTATAAATAGAACACCCTTTATATTATTTCAATTTTGGCTTCATTTCTGATCTTTTACATAATCCTAAAATATGAATAAATATATTTGATAATTTTAGAGATATTAATAAATAAATAAAAAATACATTTCTCAACCTTTTTAAAAATTATTACAAATATCCTACAACTGTCCTGATATCAAACTATATTAGGTATTTACTATGGTCTAAAAATTAGTTCGTTATAAATGTCGTAATCTTGAATCATACAGGGTGTTCAAAATTCTACGCCAAACTTTCTAAAATATAAATGTTTTCTTTGTTTTTCTTGGAACACCTTGTATATTATTTTTATTAGATGAAAGTTAAAAATAAGCATTTTTGTAATGTATTTCAAAATTTTTTAATGGTTTACGTGCCTCTTTCAACGGTAAAATACGAGAAAAAATCATTGGGTGGCTTTGATAAAAATTTACTGTGAAAAATGCCATATAAATATAAAACAGCGAATATCTGCGAAACCGTTAATAATTTGAAACTATTCTGAATAAAAAATATGTTCATTTTTAATTCTCCATCTATAAGAAAAAATAATACACAATTTTAATATACATTTAAAAAAAGCGAAAAAAATTATTTGAGATAGTTTGGCGTACAATTTTGAACACCCTGTATGATTTACGATTACCATATTTATAGGAAAGTAAATAAAAACCAGCTAAAGTAAATATCTAATGAAGTTTTGAAGTGATTCATACGTATTTTAATATTTTTTTTTAAGAAAGGCAAAAATATATATTTTTTGATTTATTTATTAGGATCTTTGAAATATCGAAATATATTTACCCATATCATAGGATTAGCAAAAGTGATATGAAAGGAAGCCAAAATTAAAAATAAAAAATTATCCCTCCCACTCTCACTTTATTGAGTCACCCGTAGATATTCAAATATTTTCCTGAAATGCATCCTAATACATACTTTTAAGTTAACACTTAAACGCAATTCTAGGTTTTTTATTTTGCCCGATGCACTATTTTGCCGGACCTTGTAGATAGCACGCGCATTCACCATTTCGTCAAGATATAAGTTAAAAATCGAAAAAAATATTTGTATAGCAGGCGGCTACTAAATTTAATGTACGTCTACCTTTTCATGCTAAATAACATTTTTACGTGTCTTTTGTAATATTTTAAAAATAGATTTTTTTACATTATTATTATTATAAAGACATATTTCTTTCAAAATGTCCCACAGTTATCGCAGAGGATATTAGTATTATATTTATACGTTGATAGATACACAGTTTGTAATACTATGACGCTAGTAAAAGAACTCACCAAACAGGTTTTCGATCTGTTAAAGCGACAAACTATTTATTTAATCGATGAAAAATCACTAATCAGTATTCACGGAACGTCGTTTTGAGATATTACCAGTCTATTGTTTACTAAATTCTGTATGGTAAACACCGAGATAAAAATAATAATAGGTTATCAACATAATACGAAAAATGATAGTTAAAAGTCAGTAGAATTTAAAATGTTATCAAGTAGCTCGTCGATGGGTGCTGGATTTTGATAATTAGGTAAAAAGTGTTAAGATTATTTTTATCAATATTTACCTTGGTAATGGATTATTTTTTCTGCACGTAATGTTTTACATACACCTTGCCCAACGATTGTGTTTAAAAGTGTACAGCAAATTTTACGGTACTATTTTATTTACTAAAATTATTTTATTACTGTCTTAAATCGTGGATTTTATCTTTTATTATTTTATATTCAAATAGAATAATATGTAAATATTTTGATAAATTACTTGATTATGTTTATATATATATTAATTAAATAATAATGTTATATAAATTAAATAATATTTTAAAAAACTATTAAATTTCAAATGAATTTTATTTGCCTAAGCAATCAAAGATACTTAACTACTGAGACTATCAATTGTTGATATAATATTATTTTGAGTTTAAACTTATCTCTTTAAAAAGCAACTTTTCCAAAGCCAACAATGAATTCACTGAGGCGTCGTTTCTTAGTCACTCTCATTAATATCTTAATTATTAGATATTAATACACCTAGTATTATGGTATTCTGGTACATTGTCGATTTTTTGAATAAAATAACCTTTTTTATCGTATTTTTTATCAGAATGGTCATAATCAAGAGGGCTAGTGATATCGTGTTAGAAAAATAAGCTAATTAAGGTCTTATTTTTTTGTATTTATTATAAATTTGCTAATAACTTTTGTTTGAAAAAAGATATCCAAATGCGGTTTTCGCTGACTTTTTAGGCTTTTATTGCTCTTTAGTATCAGCTAAAATTATATATACTATCGTATTTAATATTTTTGAAAAAAACGCGTAATGTTTGTTAAATTGGAAGACAGCGCCCCTAGCGTCTACGTTCAAAAGCTTATTTTTATTGTTTATGTGGTATAATATAGAGTACGAAACGCTCTTTTAAACGAGCTTTCACTTATTGGATTTCGATCAGCCAGTCCGGAGTTATTAACATTTTTTTGGCAAAATAAAATACTAATTCACCACAATACACCCAAAACACTTTTTAAACAAAATAGAAACAGATCTAACCTTTCCCCACCACTTTATTTGGTCCGAATGGCGGAAAATGTGAACAAAAATATGAAAAATTTAGAAGATTATAAATCCATTATTTATAATATCCGTTATCTGGACAAATTGTCCCTTTTTCTTATTTTAATAGCAGTTGCCTCTAGCAGCCGCTCTAAACGAAAATATTTCAGCAATTTATCATGCTCTCTTAGTTATAGATATTTTTCAGCTCTACGACTAATACTTTCAGTTAAAGCAGGAGCTATTCTTAATTAAGACACCCTGTACAGAGTAAGCCAAAATTGGACGCTTTTAAAAGGGAAACACCCTTTTCTAAAAGATGTCTCAGAAATAAGAGCAAGTATTTTTAACTGGCAATTTCGACGCTGAAACATGCCTACGAGGTTTTTGCGAAAAAAAATTGTTGAAAATTTAAATTTTTGACTTCCGGAAAATTTTCAAAACTTTTTAGTGCCACTTGTTTATTTACCTAGAGATTTCTCTACGGTGTATCTAAACCTTGCAGTGTTGCAACCTCCTGTGTTATCCACATTCTACATAGTTTTACATTTATAAATTCATAGACAAATTTCTACTCAAAAAATTAGGAATGTTAAATTTAATCTTTTATCAATGCTCATTATTAATAATTATAGAAAAAAAACACTTTAATTATTACTTTAACCAAACCAAAACCACCGAAAATTAACTAAAACATTACGTTTATGACGTTTACGAAAATCTTTGTTATGCTGCAAAATAACTTTATTTTCGAATAAATTTAATAAAATGATTCTTCATATTATTCACAATCAGGTCACAAAAAAGAAATTCCTAAAATGTTTATCGTAATTTAGAATTCAATATTCAAAACAGGCTCAATCAATAATCGATTAAAATTTTGTTTTGTTTGTTTCCGCTTAGTATTGCTCTCATTTTTATTTTTAAATTTAATACGGATTTGATTGCTTCGAATATTTAATTTAAAATTGATTGAGCACGGTAATCTGGCTTAATATCGTCGCATAACGCAAGCTCAAAGGACCGAAACGAGTTGACACGCCGAACTTTTGGCTGACGGTTGGCTGTCGATGGCATGGTCGAAATATATATTTAAAATTGTTGTGTGAAACGCTTTGTTTTCTTATAATGCAAAGTAGTTGTTAAGTAGTGATAGAGACAGTATAATTCTCAACATTTATTCAGAAATATATTCAGAAATGTGTACGTGTGCGCTTTTCAGGAATGTTTTGTAAATCAGTGGTTCAAATTGTGATGAAGCCTATATGAAAATAATGTGTTAAGTTAAAAATGGGGACTGTTATTTTAGCAGTTTTTATAATAGCATGTACAAGTAAAGCAGCACAATGAAGTGTATTTAGTTAAGTGTGTATCGAAAAAGAGAACTGTCGCAGTTACATCGATCTGTCATAAGTATCTTTTTTAATGTTGGGTAAGATTTTTAATTTAACTTTTTTAACTTTTAAACATTTAACTTTTAATTCATTTTATGTAATAATATCACAATCTTAAAAATGTAATGCATCTCTGCAAACTCCTCAGGTGTTGTGATTTTATGACTTACTTTTAAACATATACTTTCTTGTCCATATGGCAACACAGTGCGTCGAATTAACTGAAATCCGGGCTTGATCCGGGTAATTGGACGTAGTTGGCGATATCTGCCGGCGGTTCTCAAAATGTTGCGATTATTTTTTTAAATTTTCAAAGTTAAATAATTCGGTTATTTTCAATTTATTTTAAAAATGGTAAAGAGAAAATATGTTTATTTTGACCAGATCTACCACCCCTTACTTGCGTTTATTTCTGGGACACCCTGTAGGAAGATAGACGAAAATTAATATCGATTCGGAGCTGAATTTTTCCCATCAAAAACATGATGGTGAAAACCGTCCATCGATATCTGTTAATATTTCAGGTGCAAGGATATTTTTAAAATGTATTTTTTAACAAATCGCTGTCACTTTTTTGCTATGGAAAATTTTGTATTTTTTAAACGAATTTCCAAAGCACACTTTTTACGTAAATTTAGTTTAGGTATATATATTTTTTTTAAGAAATTAAATTTCTATATTAGCAGTTAAGTGGCAAGAATCCTTATATAATTTTATTACATACTATTAATGTGATATAATATACAGGGTGAGCCAGGTGTATTCAGAAAACTTCGTTAGCATACATATACATACATACATACTGTCATTACTCGCTGACAGTATCTGATACGCATCAGAAAGATAGTCGCATAAGGCGTTTTCTTTCATGACTTTTATGTTAAGCAAATTCAGATAAAATTAAGTGAAAAAGTTACATTCATGTCTAAAATGATTTGTTTTGGAGGGTACGGGGTGTAGAACTTCCTGAACTATAGTCAATATTTAGATGAAAATTAGTGTCTGAGTATTTTTGGCATGAGACAGCGATTTTCGATGTCAATATGACTCCAGCGAAGAGCGCCACCTACATGTTTTTAAATGGTTTGAGGTGTAATAACTTTTCATCCGTCTCTGTATAAAATGCTAGGTCGTAAATCTTCGTTTCAGACTACAGCGTGTACCAGTTTCATTTTTATTTATTTTCGATAATTTCTGAACTAGCGTCCATATCTTGAAAAATTGGTGTCTGGGTGTTTTAGATATGAAATCCGACTGATACTCGTATGACTCCCTACTTATAGAGGCGTAGATAAGTTTTCCGTGCTTTTAACTTTTTTTGTCCGTACCTGTGTTACACTTCTTATAAGAAAAAGAATACATTTTTTGTAGGTCTAATAATATCAACAGGTTTAATTTTGGTAATAATGACGTATTAGACCATTTCGGTTACAAATATCTTGATTATACTCGTAGCGATTTTACTAAGAGAACCTTTTTACGTAAAATACCGCGGAAATGTATATTTTCACTTTCACTACGTGTCACCCCGTAGAGTTAATATTCTACATTTTATTATCCAGTTTTAACTTTATATCACTGGCATGGTTATGTCCAGCCAAGGATTCTGGGAATATTTCCTGTTCCTGGAAGAAGCCACTATATTTTAAAGCACCCTAATGAAAGCACTGGCTAACGCAGATGCGATGTCACAATAGTGTCGCCATTTTGGGGAAGTATCAGTCAGAGGGTTCCTGAAGAAATTGTTTTGCTGGATTTTTGAGCACATGCTGGTAAAATATAGTATCCAAAATTGAATTTACACGCCATTTTCTGCAATTACGACATAATACAAAATTTGATATACGAATGTTTTTAAGTAAGTACCGTTTTTGGAATTAAAAAAACGTGCAAAAGATATCACAATAATTTTATTTTACATGAAAGCCTGTACCTTAATCTACTTTTCTACATAATTTCCGTGAATATTGAGGCACTTGTCATAACGTGGCACCAGTTTTTCAATACCCTCCTCATAAAATTCTGCCGCCTGACTGGTTAACCACTGTATCACAACTTTTTTGACTTCGTTATCGTCTTGAAGACGCTGACCGCCCAGGTGTTTCTTCAAGTGCAGGAATAAATGGTAGTCACTGGGCGCCAGATCAGGGCTGTATGGAGGATGATCTAGAGTTTCCCATTTAAAAGATTTGATGAGATCTTTGGTCCAATTTGCCACATGTGGACGGGCATTGTCATGCAGCAAAACAATACCCTTACTCAACTTGCCACGTCTTTTGTTTTGGATTGCACGGCGCAGATTGTTCAATGTCTCACAATAAGATGCTGCATACATACTTGATTGTCTCATTACGAGGCAGAAACTCCACTAGCAATACTCCTTTTCTGTCCCAAAAAACTGTGCACATGATTTTCCGGGCAGAAATTGTTTGCTTAAACTTCACTGTTTTGGGTGATGATGAATGTCGCCATTCCATTCCATTGTCTAAAAAATCTTCACCTTCATTGTGGTACTGCTCAAGGAAAGTCAATGCACTGCCTAAACGTTGGGTTTTGTGCAAATCCGTCAACATTTTCGGAACCCAACGTGAACACAATTTCCGGTAATTCTCGGTCACAATGCGATACAAAACACTACGAGAACATTGAGGAAAGTACAATGATGAAATTGTAAAGCGTCTGTTTTCTTTCACCTTTTCGTCCACTTTCTGCACCAAATCTTCATTAACGACCGAAGGACGCCCACTCCGTTCTTCATCATGCACATTTGTGCTGCCATCTTTAAATGTTCTCACCCATTTCCTTACCATTCCATCACTCATAATGTTTTGTCCGTAAACTTCACAGATCTCACGATGAATATCGATCGGTTTTACGCCTTTAGCACTAAGAAATCGTATGACAGCCCTACTTCACAATCGGCGGGGCTCACGATTGTCGGAAGCATCTTAAACGCGCGTATACAATGAAGAATCAGACTGTACTGGCGTCTGTGCATAGACAAGAGATGTAGGTAACCAGCGCGCATGCGCGGAACGCCGACCGTAGCGCTGCGGCGGCGGAATCGCAAAACGGTACTTACTTAAAAAACATGCCTCGTATGTCCCATTGGACTGATTTTGAATTGTTACCTGTTCAGTTTTAATTTAAAAATAAACTAGTCAAAACGAATTATCGGGATCACTTCGATAAATTTTGTTTAAACACAGAAAATATAGTTATTTAAACCTATATAAACTTAGCAATATGTTCCTTAGGAATTAAGTTTAAATGTAGTGTATGCACACCTTGGCGTTCACGATAAAAAAAAAGCTGTCAAACTGCTGAAAATTGTATTTTTAACATTATGGATGATTACATCTGCCGTACGCTGACGAAGTATTTGATACCTCAGAAGATGGTCAAGCAAGGCGTTTTCTTTCATGAGCTTTTCTGTGACTGAAAAGCCGGATACGTGATGTTATCTGTCTACCGTACTCCAGACATTCAAAAATCTCATTACTCTGTTGCCTCCTCACTTTTTGGTTGTCGCTGTTAACTGAGTTTACAACTCTTCTCCATTCCGTTCTATTGTGAGCTGTTTCTTTCCACTCATTTTGTTTGTTAATCCCCTATAAGTTTTCGTGGAAAATATCCTTGTATCTTTTGAGTTGTCCACCCGGCCTCCACTTACCGTCCACAAGCTCACCGTAAAGCAGAGATTTTGGTATGCGGTTTTCTTGCATTCTGCATATGTGACCAGCCCATCTTAAGCGGCATTTTGTAATCATTACTTCAATACACTCGCAGTTAGCTTTTTCAAGGACCGATACGTTTGAGGCATGATGGAACCATTTGATTCTTAAGAGTTGTCTAAGATGTCTCTGTTGCAACTTGTTTAATGCGTTCATGTGTCGGCGGTTCGGCATCGGCACCCAGGATTCCCTTCCATATAACATGGTGAGAATTATTATAGCTCGGTACACTGCGAGTTTTGTTTTTGTGCTCAAGTTATGATTGTAGAAAATCCTGTCTTTTAATTTCCACAATGCTCTTGAGGCGCTGCTAATCCTGTGCTGAATTTCAGAGTCGATAGTAGCCCTTTCCGAAATCAAACTGCCGAGGTAATTGAATTCCGCAACATATTTCAATAGTTCTTCTCCGATCTTTATAGCATTGTTGTGATCCTCCGGGGGAGTGCACATGATTTTAGTTTTATTGATGTTCAGCTTAAGTCCCAAAGCCTCGTATGCCAGACATGTATATGTGTTCAACATTTCAATTCAAACGTTTGCAATTGCTGTAACGTATTTGCAACTAGAGCACAGTCGCCAGCGTATTGAAGTTCTGTGATGCATTTTGTACGCGTTTTTGCCCTGAGTCTTTTTATGTTGAACAGGCCGCCGCGCCGTTGTATCTGTATCTAATGCCCAAACCTCTCTGCAGTTTGCTGTCCACTATAATGAAGAGCGCTGCAATGAATATATTGAAAAGGAGAGGCGCTAAGACACATCCCTGCCTAACGCCTGTGTTTGTTAGGAAGGGATCACTCAGTGATCCATGATAATGACACTCTTGACTTGTTGTTATAGGGCTTTTACACACTGTAATAAATTTGTTGGGTACTCCGAACTTTTTCATAATTGCCCAAAGTGCATCTCTGCTCACAGAGTGGAAGGCTTTTTTTGTTAGATCGATGAATGCAACATAAAGTTTAGACTGCTGCTCTTTTACTTTTTCCTGTAATTGGCGGATGGGGAATATGGAATCGACGGTATGGATGACTACAATATGTATCGCAAACAATGTTAAACCATTTCTATCTTAATTATTGGCAACGGAAATATTTTTTTCCTAATAATGTGTGTGTCCTCCGCGGTTTCTACGCACTTCTGCACACCGATCTGGCAAAAACTAAATGAGACTCCGAATAATCTCTTGAGGAACAAATTTGTAATCTTCTCTTTAGTGGGATTGATTCAATAGGATTGAGATTAGGTGTATTATTTATATATTATATATATTAGCAGGTCAATCCATAATTGTGATATTGGACTTTTAGGTATCGAGTAACTACTCTTGCAGAATGAGGCCTGTAGAATGTAAGATTAATTTTTGACCATGCTTAGCAGCAAATGGAATAACATATGGTTCAAGAATCTCATCTCTGTATCGTGCAACATTAATTATGGCGTCTAGAAAACATGCAAGTCCGCACTCACTTTTAAAGTTATACCTCCCCATACCATGACGGAACCTTCACCAAAATGAATTGCTTCTCTGACTGTTGTATCCAGATACCCTTCATACGGTCTTCTGTATACTCTCCGAACATCATTATGGCTTCGACCGTAAAAAGAAAGCGCCTCCACTTATTCACACCCCAGTGAAGATGTTCTTGAGCAAATATCCTTCGTGCCCTACAATGATCAACAGCTGCTCGCCTTGATCGAATTTTAACTTCATGCATTCTATTTATTACAGTCTGGGTTGAAATTCGAGTTCTTGTGGCGGTTTTGTAGGTTCCTGTGGCGATTTTGTGTAAGATTTTGTAGGTTTCTTGCGGTAAGTATTCTTTCACGAAGAGCGGCTTGAAAAAGATACCGATCTTCTGGCCTCGTTGTCCGCCTTACTCGTTGAGGATATGGTCTGCGGACCACAAAACCATATTCTCTGCGTCGATTCCATAGTCTGGAAATGAGCGATTGTAACATGAAAAAGCTGTGAGACGTATCGTTGCGACCGACCCTCCTGCAATAAAGTTGTGGCTCTGATTTCTTCTTCAATATTTAAACGCCTTCTAACACACCTTGGTCTTCCCAAAACATCAAAATTTGTCATATTTAATACCAATTTTGACGATCAAGAAGGCAAAATCAAACTAAATAAGAAATAGATTTTATGGAATGTATGGGTCTTCGAGTGCGTTTTTATTGTTATTTTTTTATGACGGGTACATAGTAATACAGATACACATATATCTAATCCCTAATTCGTTTTGATTAGTTTATTTCTTCTTCTTTTATTGTTTCAAATATTTATTATAGTTTTTTCTCTGCATATTTTCCTTATCCCACGAATTGGTGTAACTGGCATTTTAGTGAAGTATTGTTTTACCTGGTACTACCTAGTATTCGTAGTATTTTTACCACTAAGAGTAGAATATAACATACTAGATCAGGTTTGTTTTACATTGCTGTTGATATAATTTGATGTGATCGAAAATTTTATAAATTTACAATTTACTATTTTAGAAAGGAGAAAAGCTGTAAATCTTTTTGAAAGACCATCTATTAATCCATTGTTGGCTATATACATAATGAACAAGATTGGTTTAAAACTAACGGAAAATACGTTTAAACATGAGAATATGCAAAAGTTGATGAATTCTGGGGAGAAATTCGATGCAGTCATCGTGGGACAATTCTTAAACGACGCTCTTAAAGCACTTGCCTATCATTTTGAGGGACACTTAATATTATTTAGTTCTGTTGGCACAAGTACTTGGGTAAGTTTTATATTCCAAAGCATTTCTCTCCAAAGACTATAATATTACTTATGATAGTAATGTTTGTTTTAAACTATTCTAAGAAATTAATCCCAAAGTTAACATGAGAATTTTCTTTCATCTGTAATCATCTAAATTTTTTAAAAAAGTCCTTCCTTATATTGACCATTAAACGTTAAAAATATACACCAAATCACTATACAACTCAATGACTAAAGAATACAGGGACATATAACGTCCATATACGGGCTGCAGCAGAATTTGTTACATTAGACGCCATCATATTGGATCATACGGATGAGTCACCACCTCGTCAACGGCGACAATTTTAGCGATTTTTAATAATTTGTTGTATGTAGTGAACTTTGTATATACTTTATTACAAGGGTGATGGTGTTCAGCTTTCAAGTATAAAAGACGCAATGATAAGAAAGAGCTAGGAGTTGGGTTAAGTAGAGTTAGTTAGCGTTTCTCTTAAGTAAATAAACAGTCCACTCCACATTTTTAGCGTTTTTTTATTGAATTTAATAATTATTTTTCTGATACTATATGTACTTGATATGTGCTAATCTGCACATATCAAGTACATATACCAATACACATTAGCACTGGTGGAAGGCAGCAGTTCCATCAAAATCGGGTTATGGCGTAAAAACGGTATAGCACCGAACACAAGAAGGCGACAAGCAACAGTTTGGCGGACTCGGCTTCTGCACTGCGGTACAGAAAAGGAACGGAACCCTTACTGTACAAATAACTTCCAAAACATCCTAATGGCAGACGAAAACAAAAACACGGCCCTCAGTCCGGGGCACCTCTTAAGTGAGGAGAGGGTGCGAAGAATCCCCCCGTCGTCGACTGTTAGAAACTATAGAAGTGACCAAAAAGTAAAAATAAAAGTATACAATTCTAAAATACGTATTGCGACCTGGAATGTGCGCAGTCTGTACATGGCCGGTAAACTGGCAAATGTCGAGACAGAGATGCGCAGAATGCAAATTGATATATTGGGGATGAGTGAAGTAAGATGGCCTGGATCAGGTAAACAAGCAACTAATAACGGCGTCATTTACTATTCAGGAGGGACAGACACGTTTCATCAATACGGAACTGCCATACTTGTAAGCAAGGACATAGATAGGTCGGTTATGGAGTTCATACCCTTTAATGATCGAGTTATGCTATTGAAGTTACAAACTACACATCGAACACTGAACATAATACAAGTATATGCCCCAACAAACGACAAAAGTGACGCAGAGGTTGAAGATTTCTACTCAACATTAGAGGAGGCGATGAAACTCACAAAGAAGGGTGAAATAAATATGGTCATGGGAGATTTCAACGCGAAAATCGGTTCCGGAAGAGAGAATGATGTCGTAGGAGAGTACGGCCTAGGCACACGAAATGCGAGAGGTGACAAACTTATCCAGTTCTGTATAGAATCGAATTTATTTATTGCTAACACATTCTTCAAACAACATCCTAGAAGACTATACACCTGGAAATCTCCTGCTGATAAAAAAGGCCGTACCATAAGGAATCTGATCGATTTTATACTTGTTGGACAAGAACTGAAGAAATACGTGCAATCAGTAAAAACATATCCTGGCGCAGACGTTAATAGCGACCACAATCCCGTCGTTATGGATTTCCGAATGAGAAGATTCAAAAAGATCGCTAAGACGCAACCAACTCCTAGAATCAACACTAGAAAACTGCGGATACCGGATGTACACACTCAAGTGAGTTCCAGAATCGAATATGAAATGACAAAAATCCAAAATGAAAAACAACTGGATATAATGGAAACCTGGAATAGGATAAAAACCTCCATAACTCTTATTCAGGAAAATGACATTGGCCACCTTGAAACTAATGTGAAAAAAGAATGGATGACTCCTGAAATCCTAGAACTCATGAATGAAAGGAGAACCCATAAGGCAAATCCAGCATTATATGCTGAACTAAACAAAAGGATTAGAAGAAAATGCAGAGATGCAAAGGAACAGTGGATGACCGAGAAGTGTAGTGAAATCGAAAATCTTCAAGAAAAATACGACACATTCAATTTACACAAGAAGGTGAAAGAAATGGTAAACTGTAACAAGAAACGTTCCACAGCTATCTTACGGTACCAAAATAATGACATCATCTTAGGAATAGAGAATAAACTACAACGATGGAAAGAATACGTAGAAGAACTATTTAATGATAGCAGACCGAACCCTCCACCGAAAGCGGATGAAAACATGAACGAAAAAGGACCTGAAATTACCAAAGACGAAGTAATTCACGCAATAAGATCCCAAAAAGACGGAAAAGCAACTGGCCCAGACCATATTCATGCCGAAGTTATAAAACTGATGGCTGAACAGGACGGAAGGGGGTTGCAACTGCTGGTATTCATATTCAATACAATCTACCGTACAGGCACTATCCCAACGGATTGGCTACGCTCGACATTTATTACCCTTCCAAAGAAAACCCACGCTTCGAACTGCGATGAATACCGCATGATAAATCTGATGTCCCATGTCCTCAAAATATTTCTCAGAATAATTCACACCAGAATTTGTAAAAGATGCGAATACCAACTAGACGAAACTCAATTTGGATTTCGCAGTGGCCTAGGTACTCGTGAGGCGTTATTCGGATTAAACGTTATCACTCAGCGTTGCAGAGACATGAATGTCAATGTAATCGCTTGTTTTATAGATTATAGAAAAGCCTTTGACTGCGTTAACCATCAAAAACTTATAGAAGTCCTCAAAACAACCGGAATAGATAGAGAAGAAATTCGATTGATTACAAATCTCTACTGGCAGCAAAACGCAGTGGTTAAAATTGAAGGAACATCGTCAGAAGAAATCACGATTAAACGAGGTGTAAGACCGGGCTGTGTGAGGCTATCTTCAAAGAAGCTCTAGAAGGAATCGAATGTGGAATTAAGATTAACGGGAAAGTGATCAATAATATCAGGTATGCCGACGATACAGTTGTGCTGGCCGAGAATGAACAAGATTTGCAGAGGCTAATGAAAGAATTAGTTCGGCATAGTGAAAACTGCGGTCTCCTCATAAATACCACAAAAACGAAGGTTTTTGCATTCACCAAAACACCTGTGCAGATTCACCTGGATATCAACGGTGACCCAGTAGAGCAAATGTCTTCATACAAGTATTTGGGGTGTATTGTAAATGATCAATGCGACCCGAAGAAAGAAATTAGAAGCCGCATAGAACAGGCTAGAAAAACATTTATAAATATGAGACAATTTTTCACAAGGTCAGATTTGAGTTTGGAGCTACGGGTACGCATGATCAGATGCTACATTTTTTCAGTTCTCCTGTACGGGTGTGAGAGTTGGACTTGACATATCGTTGGAAAAAAACTAGATGCCTTCGAAATGTATATTTACTGCCGTATGTTAAGAATATCATGGGTCCAAAGAGTTTCAAATGTGGAGGTTCTTAATCGAATGAGAAAACAGAAAGAACTCATGCTTACCATCAAAGAAAGAAAAACACGCTACATAGGCCACATAATGAGGGGTAAAAAGTATGAACTTCTCAGATTAATAATTGAAGGCAAAGTCCAGGGCAAAAGATCTATCGGCAGACGCCAGAATTCCTGGCTAAAGGACATTTGTAGATGGTTTGGTTGCTCATCAATCGACATATTTCGTATGGCTGTATCTAGAATGACGTTAGCTATTTGGATCGCCAACCTTCGAAAGGAGATGGCGTCGTAAGAAGAAGATGTGCTAATCGTCGATACTAGTTTTCTACCTTTTGTTAACATTTTAATACGTTTTTTTTTTCGTAATTAATTAGCATGATATCACTGACCGCCTACACCGTAGGCGTAGTCAAAGCATTTATCAAAAATATATATATCCCATTAAGCAGCTAAGTTAAGAAAAACATATGGCCACGGCACTATTTGGAGCCATGGTAACAATTTGGGCTCGGGTGTTATATTACGTCCATATATTCTTTAGTCATTGATAAAACTCTAAAGATAAAAGAAAATAACCACTATAGAACTGAAATTCAGGTAAAATAATAATGTGAAGAAGCGTGGCGACATCTGCCGCAGAATGAACGAAGCGAGTTCTGTATTACCGATGGTGATTCGAATTTCTAGAATCAAAAAGAACGTTACAGATATCCCCGGGACGAAAATTACTAGAACATCAGCTGGAGTATTTAAAGCACTTCCCGCTCTCGAAAAAGTTAGTTTTAAACACGGTTTTTGAAATAAACGAATTAGCGACTAATTGGTGAAGGAGCTAGAAAAAGATATCAGTGTGTTGTATTTAATTTGTATTGTGTTTATAGTTGGAAAATAGTGTTGTTCTGGACCCCCGGAGAGTCCGTAACAATAATATGGCACTGCACAATTTATTTAGTGGAAATATTCTCAACGATATAAAAGTAATATGGGGGGGGGGGTATATTGTGAATTTGATTTAATTTGTATAAGCAATTTTTGTGGAAGAATAGGACAAATCAAAAGCAATTTTATGAAAATACCAGTGTTTGCGATTAAATTAAGTGGACTGTATTATTTTCATAGGTGCGGCTCGTGAAAAAATGCGTTTTGCGATATGATATTTTGCGGTTCGAACACTTCTCTTCGACTCTCTCGTCGTACTACTGCATCCGCGTGAAGCGGGCGAACAAAAAATTACGCGACAAAAAATATATTAAATATAAAAATACCTTATTTTAATCCTAAACAACCAGTTTATTTAAATATTAACTCATTTTTTATGCCCTTTCTTAATAAAATTTACGCTCCTTATATTCCATTGCATGAGAGACCGTAAAAGAATAGAGTGGATACGACAAAAGACCCAGATGATAGATGTCATCCACAGAGTCAAATCCCTCAAATGGCGATGGGCAGAACAACAGATGGACCACAAAAATTACAGCATAGTACCTACTAGGAATTAAGGGACCTAGAGGAAGACCAAACCTGAGATGGGATCATAATATTAGGAAATTAGAAGGGATAACTTGAGCCCGCATAGCTAACAATAATCAACGATGGGCCCAAATACAACAAATACAAAGAGAGTATATAAGGGAGACTACACCATAATTGGAAATGGATGAATAAGCTGAAAATGATGATGTTGATGATATTCCCCTAATTCATCATATATAGACCATTTTACACTGATAATGTATATACATATACTGCCATTACTCGCTGACGAGTATTCGACACGCATCAAAAGATGGTCACGCAAGGTGTTTTCTTTCATGAGCTTTTCTGTGACTAAAAAGCCCGATACGTGATGTTATTTGCCTACCGCACTCCGGACATTCAAATATTTCATTGCTTTGTTGCCTCCTTGCTTTTTGGTTGTCGCTGTTAACTGAGTTTACAATTCTTCTCCATTGAGTTCTATTGTAAACTGCTTCTTCCCAATGATTCTGCATGTTAATCCCCTTTAAGTTTTCGTGGAAAATGTCCTTGTACCTTTTGAGTTGTCCACCCGGCCTTCTCTTACCGTCTACAAGCTCACCGTAAAGCAGAGATTTTGGTATGCGGTTTTCTTGCATTCTGCATACGTGACCAGCCCATCTTGAGCGGGATTTTGTAACAATGACTTCAATACTCTCGCAGTTAGCTTTTTCAAGGATCGATACGTTTGAGACATGGTGTAACCACCGGATCTTAAGAGTTGTCTAAGATGTCTCTGTTGCAACTTGTTCATGTTGCCTTCATGTGTCGGCGGTACGGCACCCAGGTTTCGCTCCCATATAACATGGTGGGGATTATAATTGCTCGGTACACTGCCAGTTTCGTTTTTGTACTCAAGTCATGATTGTAGAAACCCCTGTCTTTTAATTTCCAGAATGCTCTTGAGGTGCTGCTAATCCGGCGCTGAATTTCAGAGTCGATATTTGCCTTTTCCGAAATCAAACTGCCGAGGTAATTAAATTCCGCTACATATTCCAATAGTTCCTCTCCGATTTGTACAGCATTGTTATGATCTTCCGGGGGAGTGCACATGATTTTGGTTTTGTCGATGTTTAGCTTAAGGCCCAAAGCCTCGTACGCCCAGGTATATACGTTCAACATTTCTTGTAATTGTTGTAACGTGTTTGCAACTAGAGCGCAGTCATCAGCGTATTGAAGTTCTGTGATGAATTCTGTACGTGTTTTTGCCCTGAGTCTTTTTATGTTGAACAGACCGCCATCATATCTGTATCTAATGCCCAATTCTCTCTCCTGCAGTCTGCTGTCCACTATAATGGAGAGCGCTGCCATGAATATGTTGAATAGGAGAGGCGCTAAGACACATCCCTGCCTTACACTTCCACAACTACCACACAACATACCACAACTCCTGTATTAGTCAGGAAGGGATCGTTCAGTGATCCATGATGTGACACTCTTGACTGGTTGTTGTTATGGAGGCTTTTACACACTGTAAGAAATTTGTTGGGTACTCCGAACTTTTTCATAATTGCTCAAAGTGCATCTCTGTTCACAGAGTCAAAGGCTTTTGTTAGATCGACGAATGCAACATAAAGTCTAGACTGCTGCTTTTTTACTTTTTCCGGTAGTTGGCGGATGGAAAATATGGAATCGACGGTGCCACGGTTGGTGCGAAAACCCGTTTACGATTCTGGAAAGATTTTTTCTATATGTGGGTGAAGGCGATTTGACATAATTTTTGAAAGAATTTTTCCTCCGATAGCCAATAGTGAAATTCCCCGGTAATTTTCGCAGTCTGATGCACTTGCTGTGTTCTTAAATATATTCACTATATTCGCGTTGCAAAAGTCCTGAGGTACCTCTCCGCTTTCCCATATGACATCGAAGAGAGCCTCAAGATGACCAATAAGTTCTTTACTTGCACACTTATAGATTTCCGCCAGGATCGCGTCAGTGATAATGCAATAAAATAATAAAGGAATATTATTATTTTTTAATTATTAATCCTAATCCGATACTTAAATATTTTTTTGTAGAAGGAATGTCGTCTATGTTCTTTAGTGGGTATCTTGCTTATCTGTAAATCTGTCTTTTGCGAATAATTTTTACAGTTACAGAGAATGTACCTTCTTGTATTCTAGTTCTTTGCTCGAGTATACAATGGAGAACTCCATTCAAAAGATCCCCATTTTGCGACTTCTGCTTATCACGAATTCCCAAAAACAAAATTTACTCGTCATTCTAAATGGTTGAAATGAAGTGGAGAAAATAAAAGTTATCAATTAAATTTTAACACAACGTAATTGAAAACATGTTATTGTGTAGGAAATTATTGTATATATGTATACATTCCATAATTGATGTATAAACATCGATTACTTTCATTTTTTTATGATCTTTCTATTATTGTCCATTTAAGTAATTTTCCGTATTTTAGGTAGTTAATGTATAAGAAATGTATATGTCGCACTCACTTAGTGTAATTGTCCGTTTCATGAAATGGATATACCCACTTCGCGAACTGGTTAGGTTAGGTTAGGTTCGCGAACTGGCTAGGTTTCAGTTCGCGAAGTGGATATCCATTTCATGAAACGGACAATTACGCTAAGTGGGTGTGACATATATAAACACTGCGTATTTAATAAATAATATCGATTACTTTTATCCTTTTATACATAGTTTAATTATCATTTTTCTATAATTGTCAATTTTGAGTAGTTTTCCACATGTAGACTATTTATATATAGTATAAATTTTATTACAGGTAAACCATCTCGTTGGTAATCCATCTTTACCATCATATACGCCAGAAATGCTTATGAGTTTTCCAGCAAGAATGACCTATATTCAGCGATTGAAAAACGTCCTATTCAACACAATTTACAATATAAATCAATTGATTTTGTTTTATCCACAGCAAAATCAACTCTTAAAGAAGTACATTTCAGACGATATCGATTTACACGATGCTTTATTCAATGTTTCTTTGGTACTGTTAAATAGTCACGAAAGTGTTTCATTTCCATCATCTTCCGTACCATGCATGAAGCTTATAGGTAACTTACATAAAATATAATTCTTGTTATAATAATAACTTTTTGGCGTTTGCGTTTCAGGAGGTTTTCACGTTAAACCGCCTAAAAAGCTTCCTACAGATTTACAAGAATTTTTAGATAATTCTACGCAAGGGGTTGTTTATTTCAGCATGGGTTCTAATGTTAATAGTAAAGATATGCCTAAAAATTTGAAATCCAGTATCTTGAAAGCTTTTTCAAATTTAAAAGAAAATGTTTTGTGGAAGTATGAGGACCAAACGTTAACCGATTTGCCAAAAAATGTGAAAATAGGAAAATGGTTTCCACAACAAGACATATTGGGTAAGATTGTAAGCATTTTTCCCATGAATATCTTTTTGAACAGGAATAAGTTTAGTGTTTAAAAAACTGACTTTAATGATTTACTTTTAACTGATTTTAACTTTCCGTGGTGAAAAGGATTTTGTTTAATTTCTACTTAAATGACACCTTTTCTATAATTTATTATTAAAGAGCGTTCATACGAGTCTAGTCAACTGATCACGATCATCAAATCACTTGATTTCATTGCGCACGAATGTAATATGACTGTCTAAACACGTAAAATCATATCAATTGTTTACAATGACTAAAAAATACAAGGACATGTAACGCCCATATTCGGACTGCAGCAAAATTTGCGATGTTAGACGCCATTTTAACGAATGAGTCATGAGCTGGTCATCAGCGACAATCTGGTTAAATTTTTAATAGTTTGTATATAGTGAACTTTGTATAATCCTTATTACAATAGTGATTAGTTGTTCAGTTTTCAAGTGTAAAAGCCGCAGCGATAAGAAAAAGTCAGTTTCCTTTCTTTGCAGACTACATACTATAAAACTCTAATTGGGATTATATTTTTAATTATTTCAAAGTAGGTTTACAAATTGTTTTAGGTCATACTTCTTCTTTGTTTTTTCTTATTTTTATAAAAGTGTTTATTTGTAACTATCTAACATGTATTTATTATCAATCAAAAATGCCTAGTATCTAGACCTACCAAAAATCGCAATCTCGAAAGTAACGTATCGACTGTAACGGGAGCATCAACGACCGATCAAAACGCGACAGATCAAAACTCGACCCTACGAGCACTCCAGCAGTCGCGCAACCACTGGCACTGGAGCGAAACACGTCGAGGTATAGGTCGTTACCAGTTACATCTCTTCGCGACAAATGAACACGCGACTCTAGGAGCGCAGCGGCTGGAACGAAACACGTCGCGATCGAGGCCGTGCGTCGCTACATAGGTACCAGTTACTACTGTTCGTGACCGACGAAATCACTACTTTAGGAGCGCGACAGCTGGAGTAAAACACGTCGCTATGCGGTTACTGCGGTTCGACCCAACTCCAAGAGCGATTATAAATAATTTATTTGCAAATTATAAATAATTCACAATTTCGCCGTTATTATGATCGTCGTTCTTTAGTAACAAGTTCCTGATTCGTTTTGGAACGTGACACGACGGACGTTGCAAAAAATACCACTACAAAATCGCGTTACTCAAATACCGACACATCACTAGTTTGAAGTATAGCTTTACAGAAAATAAAAGAAAATTTTTTACATCAAATGTGTAAACGCTTAAAAGTCCGTTGTACTCCTGTGGAATAATAAAAGCAAAATAAAAGTCTAATTCACTACCATACACCAACACAAACATCTGCGGATGATAATGGATAAACATGGTTAGGCGAAACGTGCGTCCAGTGTTAAAAGTAAATTGTTTTGGTGTATCGCAGTGAATTAGTGTTTTATTTTGTTATTGTAACAGCAAATGTTTCAACCTCCAATCGTAATGAATTCCTGTGACTTGATCAGTTCTCCTGACTCGAGAAAACGCGCCTTTATGGTATGGTATTATTTTATTAAATTTAATTCTTTCAGCACATCCCAATGTCAAATTATTTATTACACACTCGGGATACGCTAGCACCATTGAAACCGTATATCATGGCGTACCAATCGTAGCCATCCCCATATTTGGAGACCAAGCCATGAACGCTGTGCATGCAGAGACTAAAGGTTTCGGAATATATTTGCCCTGGCATAAAATTACAGAACAAAGCTTTATTACAACTATACGTGAAGTGATTGATAATCCTAAGTATAGTATATGATGTAATTTTATTAATAATGTATTAAATACTGTTGTTTCATTTTCAGATTTAAAGAAGTAGCCATGAAAAAATCGGTACTAATGAGAGACAGAGAGACTGCACCTTTAGATAGCGCCATCTACTGGATAGAGTATATTTTAAGACATGATGGAGCTCGTCATTTACGAGTATCTTCGTTAGAACTATCTTGGTATCAGTATTATATGTTAGATATTTATGCGCCATTGGCAGTTTTTATTTACGTCCTCTATTTTGTAGTGAAAAAATTCTTAATGTTACTATTTTTTAGGGTAAAACAAAAAGTAAAAATTTTATAACATATCGTGCAAAAATGCTATTTATTATATAATTGTTATACAGGCAAACTGTAAATATGTATTTTTTGTATTAAAAATTGTGATGTTGATAAGTATGTTCATTTAGTAAACCATTCACGGAATTTTTTTTAACAATATCTTACCACTTGAAATTAGAGATTTTCATGATTTATAAATAGATAAAAAAATTAAGAAAAGAAGTCAGTAACAGGTTGTTCTCACTACTTTTCTTCACTTTTGTTCTGTTACTTCTTTTTAATGCAATTTTTAATTTATTACTTCTTTTTAATGCAATATTATACCATGAGAAATGCTATCCAGATTAAACTGTTTTTTTATCATCTTTCATCTTATGATCATATATACATTGCAATAAAAATATACCCAAATAGAATTGCCGAGTTCGGCTATTTTCGGAGTCCAATTATGCTCTAGTTTAAGCTATGTTTATACAACCGGGCCTCAGCAAAAAAGTAGAAAACGCGGTGGTTAACTAACCTAACCCTTTTAGGGATATTAGTTTGAAAAACATTATTTTAAATAGTTACAGCAGAAGTTGGGTACATCTAGACATCGAGATAGCGGCCTGCATGCAATGGTAGTACTTTCGTACCACCGAGGCACAACTATCGATAGTAAATAAAGGCTTTTTCGGCTAGCCCAAATTATATAATGGAAAATAAATTTATTGCAGTTTTTAGGTATATAATAAAATTATATAAGAGTTGCTTGCCTTGAACTGCTAATATAGAAATTACTTCCACGCTGTGTTCGACATAATGTGGATCAACCTGCTCTCACTACCGGTTTCGGGGCCCTACCCCATCATCAGATGAGCTTGGGTCGTTTCCATAACTCGCGATGCGGGACTTAATATCTTACCGCTACTTTACGACAAGTCGTGTTTATATACTCTGCGCTGTGCTCGACATACTGTGGAATCGACCCTAGCTCACCTGATGATGGGGTAGGGCCTCGAAACCGGTAGTGAAAGCAGGTTGTTCTATATTAACCGTTCAAGGCAAGAAACTCTTATATAATTTTACAATAATTAAATATATATCAAGATGGAAACTATAAAAAGTAAACAACACAAAAGTTAACAATACAAAGTAAATATACACTAAATATAATAAAATTATTAAAAAATATAAACTACAATATATTATTAAAAAAAAACATCGCTAATCAAAGACTAACTACACACGATATACAACACTATATACAATCAAAACTTTTGAACTAAGCCCAGACAATGTACAGTTCAACACGTCAACATTAGCGCCGTTAATCACCCTAAGAGATCATTCTAATGGCGAATGCATACTACAATTCGTAGCGTCACATGGCATATTAAACAGATCAAAGTGTCTCACTCTAATAGACGGTAGATTAAATTAATCCGTGAAAGCAGATCTGGAGTGTCAGTTAGTCTGTTCAGAATCTTATAAACGAAGCAAACATCGTGCATTCGGCGCGTTCCAGCGTATGAGTTCCAGCGTATTTAAATTCAATAAAACCCGCATATCAGAGTTATGATAGTTCTCACCTTAGGTCCTCACGCTTGATATCCATTTTGAAAGCCGAAGAAAGCGATTCTGGATCCCTTCAACGGCATCAGAGTGTTGTTGATATTGGGGTAACCAAACCACTGTAGAATACTCAAGGCAAAAACGGACCAGGGAACAATATAGAATGTTAAATGATACTAAAAGAGAAGTCTAAGCAATTTCTAAGCATATGACCAAGATCCTTCACCTCATCCACCTGAATAAGAATGACTCCATAGAGCGTGTACTGCGTATTGATCTTTCTACGCCCTGTGAGGAAGCTAATATGGCAACACTTTCCAATATTCAAAAAAGGTTATTGTCTTGGCACCACATTCGTACAGCATTCAAATCTGCCTGAACGCTGGGCCACGTCGCTCGAACTCTTAACCTCTCTATAGATTTTTTAATCATCCTCAAAAAGGCAGTCTAACAAATTATTAGATATCATTATAAACAGATAGAACAGGCATACTATTAGTATTTCTACAAAAAAAATACTACAATATCCTGGTTTCACTTCCCTTGTCCAGCTGAATAATAGTTAGCAGCAAACCTTTGAAAATAGTATTACGTTTTACTACACTATTTCACGCCAAGATGCACCAAATATAAATAATAAAAAAGATCATACGGCCGAGGTGCTCACAAAATTCTTTAAGCGAGTGTCTTTTGAAGTAGGTAACATTTTTTTACAATTTTGTTTCTAAATAAAGACGACACTGGAAGATTAGATTCAAATTTTTATTAACCAAATGAAAAGTGTGTTATTAAGTAACAAAGATGTTTACAGAATTAGTTACAGTATTATAAACAGAAGTTAGGTTATAAAGAAGTTAATAAATTAGGGCATTATTTGCTATTAATTATTATGTTAAATGTACAGGGTGGGTCAAATTCGACGCTTTTAAATGGAAACACCCTCTTCTATAGGAGATAGACGAAAACTAATATCGGTGTCTGGAGCTCAATTTTCATCAAAAACATGATGCTGAAAACCGCACATCAATATCTGTTACCGTTTCGGAGTTACTCAAAATTCGGAGTTTTCAAAAATGTGCATTTTTAACAAATCGTTGTAACTTTTTTGCTATGGAAAATTTTGTATTTCTATGAAAACATTTCCAAAGCACCTTTTTACGTAGAATTTAATGGTTTAAGTATAATTTTTTTTAAATTAATAATTTAAGGACACCCTCTATATTTTTAATTAACCGAAAAGAATTTAAAATTACCTTTCCAAAAATATAGCACACTTGATATTTTGTTATAATCCCCTTCGAAATACAGAATTTTTAAAAGTTCGCCACTTTTAACTAGTAGGCTTTGAACCCCTTATTGATGATATGCGCTTAATGGAACTTGAAAACATATTTTCCAGCAAGACGACGTACCGCCTCTGAACGCTGAAGTTTTCAGCAAATTTTTGCAGCTAATTTTAAGAATAATTGAATAGATAACCAAAATCCCAGCCGTTGGCCATCGAGGCCGCCTGACTTAGTGCCAATGGATCTAATCCTATGGATATATTTGCGGAAGAATAAAGGTTCCTTATTCTTCCGCATAGTCTAGACAAGAAATAGTTAGAAATACTTAGCAGTTATGAGAGGGTATCTTTCACCTCCCCTGAGTTAATGAATTCCGCGAGAAATGTTCAAAAACTGTCTGCCCCGTCTGTCCATAACAGAAGACGGTCGATATGTCACAACACCTGTAGCAAAATCTCATGTCTTGGTTTGCTATTTATTTTTTATTGTTATTACATATAGTTTAAATGTGTTGATGTTGGTTAAATATATTTTAAACTGTTATAAAATTCTGCATCTCTCATAGCAAATATTAGTTTCGTTTTAATTGATGCTCACAGCTAGAATTTTTTTGCATTACAGCCGGTGCCGTTCAAAGCCTACTTATTTAAAGTGGGCGAATTTTTATATAGCCTATATCTCGAAGAGGAATCGAGCAAAATATCAAAAGTGTTATATTTTTGGAAAGGTAATTTTAAATTATTTTCAATAAAGTAAAAATATACAGGGTATCCCATATAAAGAAACAAATTTTCTGTTGATAATTCTTAAATTATTAATTTTAAAAAAATTATACTTAAACCATTAAATTCTACGTAAAAAGGTGCTTTGGAAATGTTTTCATAAAAATACAAAAATTTTCATAGCAAAAAAGTTACAGCGATTTGTTAAAAATGCATATTTTTGAAAAACACCCCGTAACTCCGAAACTGTAACAGATATCGATATGCGGTTTTCACCATTATGTTTTTGACAAAAATTGAGCTCCGGACACCGATATTAGTTTTTGTCTATCTCCTATAGAAATGGGCATTTCCATTTAAAAGCGTCGAATTTGACCCACCCTGTACATTTATTGTTTTTTGAAAACATCGTTAACAAACATTTCATTTTCTTGATTTTCAGTAACAATGGCTGGATTTTTCAGGTAATAAATTTGGAGTGGCTGCATTGGCGGTTTCATAAATTTCAGCTGGATTGTCACTATCGCTGTCACTCATATTTTCTTTTTAATTTCTTTATATTACAACCATAGTATAAGGAAAGTAGTAGCTTTACTCTTTGTCAAATCCTTTGTTCTTTTTCTGCCACTTTATATAACCTTGTTCTCGCCTCCCGTGACCACTGACGTAGTTGTATAGTCATGGTCTATTAACTAGGCATAGTCGTGGCACTCGCCATAGTTTCACAGATATGTATTTAGGAAAATATGAGTTCACAATAAAATAAAATAAAAAAAAATTGATCATCGAGTAAAAACTTGCTTGAAAACAGAATATTTTCACATTTCGTGTAGGTAACAATTCTTCTGTATCTGAAAATCTTGTGATGGGAAGAAATGCGGAAAAAATATATATAATGACTTATTTTTATATTATTATCTATTTCAGAGATTTTCTACAACTTTTTTTGATTTAAAACAAGTTTAATTTTCTGTAGATAACTGGATTCGGCATAAAATTCTGCATATAGTACACTGTCTTTATTTAAAGCACACTGCGGTGTTGCCATTCTATTTCTTATTTACAAAAATTTTGGTTAAAAATATTATTTTCGAAAAGTGGTAAAAAACTAGAGTGAATATAACTTTATTAATACTTAGCTATGTTTTCTTAAACATGAAGGATACCAGAATAAATTCATGTAGAAAAATTTACTTTATCGTATACAGGGTATTTTTTATGGCGTCACCAAAATCGTAGTATTTAAAATGTTGTATTTCATTTTTTTTAAATGCAACACCTTGTATATTTTTTTTCAGATGTAGAATTAAAAGGTGAACATTTTTTGTATTTAAAGTGTTCTTAAATTTTTAGCCGCTTTGCAAATATTTTCTGTATTTCATTACATATGGGATTTTCAACGATAAAATATTAGACATAGATCATATTAGATGGCTTTGATAAAAATTTACTGTTGAAAGAGCCATATGTAATATAATACCGGGAATATCTGCGAAACCGTTAAAAATTTAGAAACACTTTAAATAAAAAAATGTTCACTTTTTAATTCTGCATCTGACAGAAAAATAATATACAGAATGTTGCATTTAAAAAAATTGAGATATA